TTGGGGTGCCTGCAGGTTGGAGGTGTCCGCAGTGCCAGGGCACGGCCTTTTTCCAAAGAAGTGAAGGCGCAGACAGGATTGGTGGCTTGCGTCAGTTGCTTTCAATCTGGCAATTTTGTGGGTGGTTTCATGTAGTCTGGGTCAGCACGCTGTGCTGCTCTGTGACAGGACCGGTGTGCAGGCCATCTTTTCCCATCTGGTCCACAAGCCTAGAATGTTGCTTGTCACATACCTTGCTAGAAGAGTCCTGGCTTTGGTGTTGGAGGACCCAGGTTCAAGTCCTGTTTTTGTCCTTTGGCCTTGAATGACAAACAGATCATTTTGTATTTGATCTTAGAGGGGACAAGCTTTAAAGTCTAGAGGATTTTGGATTGAATCCTGGAGGCAACAGGAAGCCCCTAGAATTTAATGGTGTCAGAGTGGAGGATGGCCTGGAGTGGGGGGAGACTTGAGGCAGGCAGAGTCCCAGTAGTTACTGCAATAGTCCAGGCGTGAGTGGATCAGGGCCTGCACCAGGATGGGAGCAGGGTCAAAGGAGAGAAGGGATTGGAGAGATATTGTATAGATAGAAGCAACAGACCTTGGCAACAGCTTGGATACAGGGAGGGGAGAACGAGAGTGAGGAGTCCAGGGTGAGACTGAGCCTGGAGGACTGGGAGGATGGGGGCGCCCTCCCCAGTCACAGGGAAGGGGAAGGGTTTGGGAGGAATCCATTGGATATGGGCCATGAAAAGGAAATGAATTGTGTGTGTGAGTAGGCAGGGAACGTATCCCTTCATCCTTTGCAGTGCTGGAGTAGGGATCGTGTGCAAAGGTTACTCTCTTCTCTCACTCTGGGAGATGCCTAGGCTTTATCTCATTGCCATGGCAACCCCTGGGCCCTTTCCACCCACTGGGCTGTGGGGGAGGCTTTGTTTCCTTTTTTTGTTCTTGCTTTTTTCTCTCACTCTGTTCCTCCAGCCCATTTTCAAACCCTGAAGCAGATTCATTTGTGGCTGAGGAGGGAGTGGGGCCTTCGTCTTGTTCCGGGGGCTTTCTGTGAGACTCCCTCTAAAGCTAGGCCTTACAGGGTGGAGTTAGCCAAAGATCTGATTTGCTCTTCTCCTCTTAGTGAGGAGCCCCAGAAGTCTCCAGAAAGGTTTGTAACAAAAGCCAGGGCCCAAAGGCCTGGACTGAAGAAAGTCTCAGAAATGGTCTTTCTTAGGGTGCCATCTGCAGGAATGACCTTCCCTTGTTCCTGTAAGGGAGGCTTGGTGAGGGCTGGCCTCAGAATCCCTGTAACAAGAGGGGCTACATCTCTGACCCTTCTATCCCCAGATCCCAGAGGTGGGAACTAAGGCCCAGAAAGGGGGGGGGGCTAAGGGAGGGGAAAGAGAAGGGAGCTGGGCAGAGTCTGTTGGCCCCGGGACATTGAAAATGAAACTGGGTGGGTTGGGCTCAGTGCCCCCTCCCCATGGCTCTGACACATTATCATAGAATTGGGCATCTCCAGTGTTGGAAGTGTTCTTGGTGCTATATGGACCTTCTTTGTAGCCACACTGTCCTACAGGTATCTGTCAGGCCCAGTCTTGCTGTCTTAGGAAGAACTTGCCTGGTGCAATGGGAGGGGCAGGTCCTTAAGCCAAATGCCTTTAAGATCCCGCCCCCCCCCATGATGTTGGCACCGACAAAGAAACCAACAAGTCTTGTTTTCCACTTTTCCTGTCAAGTGTTTTCCAACATCGGGGCCAATAGCAAAAGAGCTTGAGTCCTGGTGTCCAGTCATGTTGTGATGGCATTGTTGGCATGCTCCTCCCCCACCCAGGGCGAGGTGCAGGGGATTTATTCAGGGGCTTGCTGACCACCCATCTGGGGCCTTTGGTGTCTGTGCTCATAGGGGAGGGGCAGCAGGATACATCGAAATGACCCAAAAAAGAAGCCAAGGACAAAACCAGTGCTTCCTGGAGGAGAACAAAGGAAGGGATCCCCCTGTTCTGGAATAGTAAGTTAGTTCCAGAGGCTGCAAGGACCAGACAGGAAGTGCCTGGGCAAAGGATATGTGAGTTCAACCTAACAAAGCAGCTGGCAGTGGGGTCCCCAGCACTTGGGGTGCTGGAGCAGAGAACTCCCAGGCTGCCCAGGGAACCACTGAGGACCCCAAAATGCCACCAGGACTTTGTGTCAGATGGCACCAAGAAGTGAGAATCTTCCCAGCTCCATGGCAAGTACTTCAAGGGACGGCTTGTGGCTGTTGCTGGGCACTTAAAGACCACAGGAAGGATATGGACATTCAGGAAGCAAATGGTTCTGTACAAGTGGTCAGTAGCACCTATCCTAGGTTGGGGTTCCCGTGAGTTGGAAGGAGCAAATAAATTCTAAGATTCCTCCTTAAGGTGCCCTTGTTTGTTCTCAGCTGTGAGCAGGGGCCAGGACATTTGGAACCCCTGGCCCTCAGGTGATGGCATTGGTGAATCCAGAACACAGGTGACCTGTGCAGGTGGCAGGCAGCCTCACACAGAAGTAGCCTACAGTGCACAGCATGGCTGGCAATGGTGTATGTCACTGAAGGGAGTACTTCATGGCCTGAATTGGGGCACAGCTCCAGGGCCATCAGGGTGGCTGCTATTCTTAACTTGAGCTAAAATATGCCCATGGTTGTATGGTGGTGCCATCATGGATGTTGTAGACTCCCATGATGCTAAGGGAGAAACTGAGGGGCAGGGAGGGCCTGGGAGCCAGCATTACTGCCAGGCACAACAAGCTTGTACAGAGATGACACTTTGGCCTTGGACATGTCTCTGCAGAGTGGCCACGTGGAGGGTATGAAAAGAAAGATGGGTGTACCCTTCAGGGTCCTGAGAAGAGGGGATGTGACTGGTAGGAAGCTGGCTGTGGTGGGGGGGTGTGCTCAAGCTCAACCTTCTTTTTTTTTTTAAATTTTTTTTCCATATGCTTTTGAGTTTAAAATTTTTCTCCCTTTTTCTCCCCCCCCCAAGACGGCGCACAATCTGACATAGGCTTTACATTTACATACCCATTAAACATATTTTCACATTAGTGAAGTTGTAAGTAAAAATTAAAACCAACAGGAGGAACCATCAGAAAGAGGAAACAAAACTCTCAACCAAGCTCAACTTTTCTATGGCCTTTGTAGAGGCAGCTGCCCATATGATACCTTCCTAACTTTTGTTGTTGTTGTTGTGAGGCAATTGGGGTTAAGTGACTTGCCCAGAGTCACACAGCTAGTGAAAGTTATATGTCTGAGGCCAGATTTGAACTGAGGTCCTCCTGACTCCAGGGCCGGTGCTCTATCCACTGCACCACCTAGCTGCCCCCTTCCTAACATTTTTGACAAATGAAGAAATTAAGGTAAATGTCTGAGGTGGGATTGGGACCCAGGTAGTCTTGATTACAAATGCTTCACAGGGGGAGCCACTGAATTCTTGGATGAGATCCAGAGGAAAAGGAAAGGTCAGAGAAAGGGGAAACAGAAAGATCCCAGAAAGCTGTGCAGGAAGAGGCGCCCTCTAGGGTGTGCTATATTCACTTTGGGCCCAGCCAGCAATACATCGCTGAGAATTAAGACTTGGTCTGTGAGATAATTTTCCCTAGCCTCCCTTCCCTTTCAGCCCAGTCTATTTCTCTTCCCCTCTTAAGGCCTTCTCTGATGAGGAAAAGGGCCATGGCTGCTAAGTCTTATGGGATCCTGTCTCCTCACAGCTTCCATTTTTTTCTAGCTGCTTGACCAGAAAGCTCCAGAAGGGTTAGGGTCATGAAGTCCCTGGCAGTTTTCATCCAGAGGGTTGTTTTAAGCACTAACCGGTGGGGTCTTTTTCCCTTTCTACTCAAGTTGTTTTCCAGGTCACTTGTTTTTCCTACAAGATATCTGGTATTTTCTTCTTTTTTTCAGCCTTTTGACCTTGTTTTAATATTTCTTGCTGTCTTATGGAGTCATTGGTTTCCATTTGGTCCATTCTAGTTTTCAAGGCATTTGGTACCTCTTTGGTCATTGATTCTCTACCCAATTCTTTCTGCCATAGCCCTCATTTCTTATTCATTATTTTCCTCTAGTGCTCTGAATTCGTTTTAAGAAATGTTTAAAAGTAGTTTTTGAATCATCGCTTCATCTCTTCCAGGAATTCCATTATAACTTGTGCCCAAGCTGTGTTGTTCTTCGAGGCTTTGCTCATTGATATGGTTTGCATTCACTTCTTCAGGGTGTGTGTCCCAAGCATCCTACTCTTCACACAAGCTTTGTGTGATGGGATTCCTTATTCTCTTCCTTTCAGCCTCTTTTCTCAGTTAGGCTCTGGGCACTTGCAGAGGGAAGGTCTGGGCTGGGCCTGTCGCTGCTTTCTTGGGGGTATTGGTGTCACGTAGTTCTGGGATCTCAGGGACAGCTCAGACTGGGGACAAACAAGCTCTCAGTGCTCCCACAGGAGTGTGATCCAGGGCTAAAGCCAGTCATGCCTCCCCCAGGTCCAAGCTTTGCATATTCCTGGCCTGGGCTTGGGTCTGAGCAACAGGAGATGTTGCCTGCCTCACCTCCTGGCAGCTAACTGGAAAGCTGGTGGTTCAGGACTACAGAAATGTACACTCCCCTTGCTCTGTGCTGGGCTACATGCTAGAAGTGAGACCCTACTCTGAACTTGGGATCTGAACCCTACCATCGCCACTGCTGGCTTGTGAAACCTTTCTTGTTGCACAAGCCAGAGCCATGCAACACAGGACGCTGCCCCCCTTCCCAGCACAGGTTCCCCCCCCCCCATCCTTGCACAGGGCCCCAGCCCCCATGATCCTATCCCAGGGCCCCTTCTCAGTGCACGTTGGATCTGTGACCCAGAACTGTCCCCATTACAGCAGCCTGGCATAGCTCTGGACTTCCTTTAGTGTCGCTGCCCAGCCTCTCCCTGGGCCCTATAAGGGCCCCCTCCCCACAACATCTGCAGACCTCCCTCCCAGTCACCGACCTGAGCCACACAAAGAACTCACCATGACTCTTTCTGATTTATTTTCCCCAGGACTCCATCTGGTGACTCTTCTATATCTGTTTGGAGGAGCTGTGGACCGGAGCTCAGCTGCCCCACCTCTCGCTGCTCTGCCATCTTGGTTCCACCCCCTGTGCCAGGACCACTTCAGGGCATCCAGGTTCATTTAATGTCATTGTAGGGCATATTGTTTGTTCAGTCTCACCTCCTTCTCTTTCTATCAGTGCCCATTAAGAAAAAAACTTTTGGACAGTTGCCCCAAACTGGGATGGATTAGGACAATCACAAGCAATTTTATCTAAGTTATGACATGCCAAGTGCAGCCAGACATGAACTCAGTTAATCCTCACAGCAACCTTTGGAGGGAGGGGCTGTCATTATCCCCATTTTACAGCTGGGAAAACTGAGGCTAAGAGCAACACAGTGACTTTCCCAAGGTCACATAGATAGAGAGTCTAAGGCAGGATTCAAACTTGTCCTGTCATAACAGAGTGGCTTCGCCATCACCGTAGGCACGCTAGCAGAAGCACAGATGCATCAGAAAGACATCTTGGCTGTGGATTGGTTTAGCCAGACAGGAAAGAGTGACCAAGGTGTGCATGTCCCTCACCTTTATTCTACAGCTTGCTCTGAGGTGGGAGACCACAGGGAAAGGTGCCACAGAACTCACCCAGATCACCATAGGAGCTTTTTTCAGACTAGCAAAGAGCTGAAAGGAAAACGGATACTCTGGTGGCCATGGATGTAGTGCTATGGGATGGTGCCTCACAATGCCTGAGCATCACAGATTTGGAGACCCTGGGGGAGTGGGGCATGGCCAGATGCAGAGTGAGGGAAGGAGAAGCAACAGTGGTGCAGAGAGGAAGTGGAGGCCTGGGTCGTGATCTGGGCCAAGCTGGGCCCCAGAGAACAGAGGACAAAATGGAACTCCCTGCCCTCAAAGAGGTGGGGGACTACAGGGGGGAAATAGTACATTTGCTGGCAGATACAACCCATGTGTTGGCTACTTGTGTCAAACGGTGGCCTTTTAAAGATGCTTTGTTACAAGAGAAGGCTCACGTGGTGGGGGCAGGGCATACTTGGAAACGAATTTCATACCAGAGCAAAATTCATTTCAAGCAAAATGTTTTCCAGAAGAAATTGCTGCTCATTCATTTCGTCAGCAGGTGTGTGTTACGCACTCATGATGTGCTTGGCTCTGTGGGAGGCACTGGGGGTCTAGTGTCGTCAGTGGGAACGACCCTCCCAAAGGGGCGACGTGCTGCTTCTGCCCCCAGTCCTCAGCACAGGGCTCTGTGCCTAGTAAGTCCCTTAGAAATGCCTTTTCATTCATTTATTAATCTGGAGCTACAAGGGAACTTGGAGAGTGTCTTGCCTAGTCTCCTTATTTGACAGAGATGGAAACTGAGGCACTGAGAGGGAAAGGGTCGTAGACAGCTAAGTGGCACACTGGATAGAGCCCTGGACCTAGAGTTAGGTAGACCCAAGTTCAGATCTGACCTCAGCCACTTCTTAGTTGGATGGCTCTCAGCAAGTCACTTAATTTCCCTGTGTCTCAGTTTCCTCATCTGTAAAATGGGAATAATGATAGCCCTCCCCCACAGTTGTTGGAAGGTTTTCAATGAGATAACATGTCAAGCACTTTGCCAACCTTGATGTGCTGAAGGAGCTGCCAGAGAACATAGAGGCGAAATTGGAATCCAGATCTGGCAGTGCCAAGCTTGGTGCGCCAACTTCCCAGTTCTTGCTCCATGAGTCAAAGGCGTCTTCTCTCCCTTCTCCAAGGCGGCGGGGTGGGGGGAATCAAGTGCTTTTCAAACCTTAAAGCTGGGGGGGAATTGGGGAATTAGATATCATATATATAATTATTATTGTACACAATATATAATTATTACATAGTATTGGGTATTATATGTAATATATTATGCACAATGATGTGGGTGTGTGTATGTGTGTGTGTAGGGAGGAAGAGAAAAAGAGAAGGAAGAAGGGAGGGAGAGAGAAAGAGACAGAAGTCGAGACAGAGAAACAGAGAGGGAGGGAGGAAAAAGAGAGGCAGAGGTAGAGAGAAATAGAGGGAGGGAGAGAGAAGGAGAGGGAAGAGAGAGATACAGATACTTTGTGTGTGTGTGTGTGTGTGTGTGTGTGAGGAGAGAGAGAGAGAGAGAGAGAGAGAGAGAGAGAGAGAGAGAGAGAGGCAGAGAAGAGAGAAAAAAGAGAGGGAGAGGAGGGAGAGACAGAGAGACACAGAAAGAGAGGAGGGAGAGAGTGAAAGAGAAAAAAAAGAGAGAGAAAACAGAAGAGAGGGACAGAGACAGAGAATTCTCATGCCAGCCCTCTGTTCACCAAGCTTTGTGAGGTGACCGTCCCCTGCCTTACCCCCCAAGGTTTACCCAAAGGTCTCAGGCCAGGAAGCCTCCACGTTCCGGGTGCCATGGGGGCAGGTGGATAACTCCTCCATGTGTTTCTTGGGCAGGAACGATTCTATTTTCCTTGGCTCTCTCTGGCGGTCAGCTCCAGAAGGGAGAAGGAGCAGGCCTGTTCTCTGACCCAGTCACCTGTGCACAGCCCCTGCCCTCCCAGTATGGCAATTCCTTTCCTCCTATGAGTCAGGTGTTACAGCCCTTACCTTCCTCTAAGCAACTTGGGGTTCCCATGGACCTTCTGGGTGTGGGCCACGAAGATGCAGATGTGTAGCCCTTTGGGCTTACGTCAGGGTCTCAGTCCCTGCCTCCCTCAGCCTCCACTTGTGCCCATCTAATGAATGCTCCCCACCCCCACCCCCATGTCTTTCAGGCCCCAGCTGCAGACTACGGGAAAGGCTTCTCTAGATTGACAGAGAGGGGGAAGATGACGTCTTCGTCACTTCTGGAGCTCAGCTCCATAGAGACGCCCACACTGCTGAGTGAGATCAAGACAGAGCCTCCCGAGGAGCTTCTGGCCCCTGAATGCAGCGGGCCCCAGGCGGAGCCTGTGGACCTCTCCCTGCACAAGCCCAAAGCCTCACCGCCACCTACAACCCCACTCTTGCCCTCAGCCATGCTGGTGGCCCCGGCGGTCCAGCCGCCTGTGGTGTCGGTGTCTCCCTCGGGCCTGGCCTCGCCCTCCACCTCTGCCATCCCAGCTGTGTTGTCTCCCGGCTCCATCCTGGCCTCGACCCAGGGCAGCAGCGGCCAGCAGATCTTGCACCTGATTCACACCATCCCCTCAGTTAACCTGCCCAGCAAGATGGGCAGTCTGCAGACCATCCCCCGTGGTGGTCCAGTCTCTGCCCGTGGTCTACACCACCATGGCAGCCGACAGCGTGACGGCAGCCATCACGGTCCCGCTGATTGGAGGAGATGGCAAAAATGCAGGTTCCGGTAAGCGCCGCTGAGACCCCCCCCCCCCCCCCCCCCCCGGCTCCTTTGTTCTCTGTTCTGCACCTTCCCCACTCACTCTGGGAGCATGTGAAAGGAAGGAAGGCAGACTACTGGGGGCTGAGGGCAAAGAGTCATGAACATTTAGACAAGGTGCCACCTCGTCCCTCCTGCCCCCCCCACCTTTCCCAATTACAGTATAAACTCCTTGAGGGCAGGCTTGGCTTGTTTACTTGGACTTGTAGCCCAGGCATTTAGCCCACGCAGTACACATGCTTGTTAGCTTGCTCTCTCTCTCTCTCTCTCTGTCTGTATCTATCTGTCTGTCTCCCTCTCTATCTGTATCATCTATCCATCCATCCATTTGTCTGTCTATATCTATCTACCCATCAATCTATCATCTATCCATATATCTGTCTGTCTATCCATCTCTATCCAGCTGTCTGTTTATATCGCTCTATCATCTCTCTATCCATTCATCCTTCCCTTGGTCTGTCTCTATCCATCTGTCTGTCTGTCTATGTCTGTCTACCCATTTGTCCATCTATCTGTCTCTATCTCTATCATCCATCCATTTGTCTGTCTGTGTAGATCTGCCTTCATCTATCACCTGTTTCTGTCTCAAACTATCAGTCGACGTATGTAGTGCTCTCCCCACCCCTAAAAGTTCTTTTGCAGAGCTGTGGAATGTGTGCTACTTGAAGTCACCAGCCACGTCACCTTCGCCCTTGTGTCTGCAGGACACAGCACAGTTCTTGGCACGCGCTCTCTTTGGTGCCTCACTGGGTAGCCGTGTGGAGGCAGCTGGCTCTGGACTCTTGAAGGTTCTGCTGATGGAACCCTACTGTGAGCCAATTGTGTCTAAAGTAGCACCTCACCTGGCTGCCCCTTGGGGGGGATTCTTGAGCTGTCCAATGGCCCTGCCTCCATCCTCTGCTGGAATGGCCATGGGGCAGACTTGGCTCTTGGTTCTCTGAAGGGGAGAGGGACCCTCGTCCATTCACATATGGCTGGAAGATCTGAATCATGTCAGTCTTGGGCATTATTTTGTGAATCAACCAAATGGACTTCTGCCTCCAGAGCAGCAGAAATGTCTGGAATGACTGCAAGGGGCCAGAGGCTGAGCAGCTCCCCAGACATTTCAGTCCTTTGCATCTAGGAAGGGCTTGCTCTGGGCTGGCCATCTTCCAAAGGGCATGGAGGACCCTCTAGCCCCTAGGGAGACGGCTTGGTCTTATGGATGAAGGAGGCATTATGATCCCAGAGTTAGTGCTAGCTATGTACAACCAGACAACTCACTAACTTGTCAGGACAAATATCCACTTTCCTAAAAATCTAGAAGAAAGAATCAGCTCCAGAAAAATGGGCCAGATGATGCGATCACAACAGCTTCCTCCTGAAATACTGAAACAAATACCTGAGAATGAAGAATGAGGGATGAGGGATGGGGCCCCAAACATCATCAGCGCTGCTTCTAACCCTAACATCCAGCAGAGGGTTGACATTACCACAGCTGAGATCCCAGAAGGTCCCCAAGTCAGCAAATGTCTGATCAACTTGCCAGGAGCTTGTTTGTGAAATTGTGGTGAGAAGGATCTGGGCCGATTTTGGCAGTGACCCCCCAATGGTACAGAAGAGGGCAGAGCTCCTCGCTGCAAGTCCTCATGCCGAAGAGGCAGGTCGCTGCTGCAGAGCCGTTCTGGAGCCCCTCCCTGGCCCCTAGGTCCTGCTTCTCTGAGCTGTGTCCCAGAGCTACCCTCTGCCTTCTTGGCTAGGGAGGAAGGGCTTGGGACCCTACTTTGGAATGCCCAGCGTTAGGGTATTTGGGAGCTAGCCTCGGAATCCATCCTCCAGTGGAGGCCTTTTCTCCCCAGCATGTGGGGTGGGCCACTCCTTTTCCTGCCGTTTATCCTTTGAAGTCTTATCCTTTCTCTCCTTTCACATGCCTCACTGAGATACCCACTGCAGCCCATTGCCTTTCCCAGGCTCCTCAGTGCCAGCTTGGCACAGAGCTTGCAGCAGCCACTGGCTGCTTACATCCCACCTGGCACTGGGCGGTGACTAGCTATTTCCCTTCCCCAAGCCCCAGCTTCTCTGGGAAGTTCCCCTGGGGAGGCCTGGGAGAGAGCCCACTCTGGCCAGGGCTCTCTGCTACTAGCTCAGCATTCTGCTTGGGCTATGTGCATGGGGATCCTGGGGAAGCCACGTGCCAGGCAGAATGGGAGAGGGGCCAAAAGCCCCAGCCTTGGGTCTTAGTTCTCTTACCAGACTTCTCACTCCGAGTGGGAGGCCTAGGGCCAATGGGCAGAGGCTGCGGGGGCCAATTTAGACTCAGCCCCAGTAAAGCCCTGCTAGGTACTCCCTGGGCTCAGGAATCAGGCCTCCCAGTGCTAACCTTGAGCTGTCTCTCGGAGGAGTGTCTGTAATAGAGCAGGCCGAGGACATCCAGATGGCCTCCGAGCCTCTCTCCATGCATCTCCCTCAGCTTCTTGTTGACAGACGCATCCAGGGGCTAATGGGTTCAAACCCCTCATCCCCTTTCCAGCCCTTTGAGAAGGGCTGAGCTAGGGACGTGGACAGAGGCTTCTCACTAGTTCTCACCCTCTTTCTCTTTTTTCCCTTCAGTGAAATTAGACCCCAGCTCCATGTCTCCAGTAGAAGTGCAGAGTGACAGTGAGGACAGCATGGGGGAGACTGTGTCTGTGTCTGCAGCTTTTCAGGAGCTACAGAGAGAGTGAGTATCTATCTGCCCCTTGACTACAGAAAGAACGTGAACCTCTGAGCTGGTACCATTTAAAGCCTTTCTGGGAAAGCTGTTGTGTGCACACATGTGTTCTTGCACACAAATGTAGGTGTGTGTACACATATGTGTCTCCCAAGCCTGTCACTCCTTTTCCAGCTTGTTTTTTTCTTCCTCCCACCCCCTAGGTCTGTGGGGGCCCCATTACATCACACGGAGTCTCCTGACCTGAAGAAGAGGCGCATTCACCAGTGTGACTTTGCGGGATGTAACAAGGTCTACACCAAGAGCTCCCACCTGAAGGCCCATCGGAGAATCCACACTGGTATAGCTGGCAGCCCCTCCCACAGTCCCCCTCACTCTTCCTCAGGCCAGATCAAGATCTGCTCCATTTGGTCCCATGCCATTTGGTCTGAGCCTAGGAGCAAGGATGGCGCGGTCTGTCATTCCACACTGGGCTCCTTCCTCCTTTCCCCCTCCCCTGCCCCCATCAGCTTTCTCTTGCTGCTGGAGCTCACCCCTACCTGGTGTTAGGGGGCAGTTGGAATGCTCTCATACCAGCCCATGAGTGTCGCAGCCCTCCCTCTCTCTTTCCCTGTCCCTTTCCCTCTCACTCTCCTCCTTCCCTCTCTCCCTCCTCTCTCGCTCTCTCACTCTCTTTCTCTGTCCCTCTCCCCCTCCCTCCTCCTCTTTCCCTCCCTCCTCTTCGTCTCTCTCTCTCTCTCTCTCTCTCTCTCTCTCTCTCTCTCTCTCGCTCTCTCTCACTCTCTCTCTTGCTGTGTTCTCTCTCTCACTGTGTTCCTGCTCTCACTCTCTCTCTCTCTCCCTCTCCCCCCTCTTCCTCTCTCCCCCTCCCTCCCCCCTCTCGGTCTCTCTCTGTCTTTCTCTCTCTCTTTCCCTGTCCCTTTCCCTCCCCCTCTCTCACCTCTCCTCCCTCTCCTCTCTTCTCTCCCCCTCCCCTTCCCTCTCCCTCTTCCTTCTCCTTCCCGTTCTTTCCTCTCTTTTCTCACTCCTGTCTCCCAGGATCTGATGAGATAATACATGTAAAGTGCTTTGTAAACTGGCAGGTGCCCCCAAATGGCTCCCCAGCCAGCTCTGCTGGGACAGGCCTTTTTTCACGGGTGCTGTGGTCTTGATCTGTCCTTTAGGCTGGATGTGGCTGGTGCGAGCCAGTGCTCCCCACAGTGACTGTGTCTCACAAGCCAGTTGCCCTTGTGAAGGAATGGTGGTGTGGGACGTAGTTGAAAGAGAACCACTATGACATAGTGCTAAGGGCAGTAGACATGGTACGGGGCAACCTTCGTGGCCTCAGTTTCTTCATCTGTTCTTGGGAGAGAGCATGGCCATGGTGTCAAGAGACTTGGGTTCAAATCCCGCTCCAGACACTTACTGGCTGTGTGACTTTGGACAATTCACTTTGTCTCCAAGAGCCTCAGTCTCCTCCTCTGTCCAAAGTTGACTCCAATACATTGGGAGGCCTGGTGGCTGGCTCTCCATGTTGAGGGAGGGCAGTCCTGCTCTTGGCCTGCCACTGCCTGCTCATGTGCATCTGAGGGCTGTTTCTCCCACCAAGCTTTCCCTGGGCTTGTCCTGCCTCTCTCTTTTTAGGCTTGAGATCCAAAGCAGCTTATTGCACAGGTTGCTGGTACCAGGCCTGCTCACTCAGATCATTGGCCCTGCTTGGCCCCCAAGGCGAAAGGCTGGAGGGAAAGTTCATTGGTAGTTACTGCATTTTTGACCTCCCAGTCCCCATTCTGGCCCAAGACCCAGAGCTTCACCAGTTTAGAAAGTCTTCAGAACCTTGCCAGCCACTTCCTGGGGATCCTCGATTGAAAGATGGCTAGGACCTTAGAGGTCATCTAGGTCAATGCATCATTTTACTGACAAAGAAACTGAGGCCTGGGGAAGGGGCAAACTGACTTGGGTCACACAGTGGGACTCAAACTGAGGGCCTCTGGCTTCTTTCTAATCCAGGCTCTTTCGATGGCATCATGCTATCTCGCCATTTTCAAGGTGGGGAGTAATGCCCCTGGGCCAACTGGTTGGTTCAAAGAAGGCCCCGGGCTGTTGACCCAGAGAAGGCCTCTCCATAGAAACCTTTTCACCCCCTTATTTGCTGTCTTCTTGGTGCCGAATGGCTGAAGCAGCCATCATAACTTCGAAAAAAGTTGTCTTGGTGCCTTTGCTCACCTCTGCCCTCTCCCTTGCTAATACCGGCTAGTACCAGACTTGAATAGAGGCAGATTAGGCTGCGTCAGATAGAGCCCAGGACCTGGAGTCAAGAATACCCTAGTTCCAATCCAGCCTCTCTCTGGGGTTCCCTTTAGAGCAGGGCATGATTTCATTCAGTCACTCATCAAACACTTAGCCAGGTAAATGAGGAAGGAGCTAGTAAGTCAGCAGGGAGTTGCCTAGGATAAAGAGTGATCATGAGGCCCAGATGAGTGACATCTTCCCACCCTGCAGAAACTAACAAATGGGATTCCTCAGCCACTCTCTGAGACATCTCAGAGACTGGGGAAAGGAGGACCAGAGAGGGCCACATGGGATCACCACCTTCCAGAAAGGAAAGAACTGGACCATACAAGCGAGAGGCCAGGGGGCTGGACTTCAGTTCCTAGGCAAATTGTGAGACTGTGTTTCTAAAAAGGTGGCTATGTGAAAGAGGACAGGGATAAAACCAGAAGAGAGACCACTGGAAAAGAAGAGGGGGAGTATGTTTTGTTCTTCAGTCATTTTTCAGTCGCGTCCAACTCTCGTGACCCCATTGGGGGTTTCCTTGGCAAAGATACTGGAGGGCTTTGCCATGTCTTCTCCAGCTCATTTTACAGATGAGGAAACTGAGGCAAACAGGGTGAAGTGACTTGCTCAGGGTCATACAGCTAGCAAGTGTCTGAGGCCAGATTTGAAATCAGGAAAAAGAGTCTTCCTGATTGCAAACCCAAGTGCTTTATCCACTGAGCCACCTGTTAGCAGGTACCTAAGATGAGCTCATTGGGCATTTTATTTGACTCTAACTTGAATATCAGTCATCTCATCCTATCTCCCCTTCTTTCCCTGCCCCCTCCCCCATCATCCCTGTTCAGGTGAGTGAGTCCAACTGAGAAAGAAACCTTCTTCTATGTGGGCACAAAGGAGCACACAATCCATGTTGAGTGGTAGGTAGTCTTTGAGAAGAATAGGAACATGATGAGGAGGTTGGCTGCCTTTGAGTTGGTATGAGTGAAGGGCTGAGGCTGCCTCTCACCATATGGGCAGAAATGTATGAGCAAAGAGGTTGAACTGGCCTGGGACTTTAACAAAGGTGACAGGACCTAGCCCTTGGGCTTTTGAGGAGAAGGAAACGTTGGCTTTTATTGTCTTCTTTCTCTCTGGTGTCCTCCTCTCCCCTTGCCCCTGCTACTTCATGAGGTGATTAATTATGAATCTCTAGGGTTCTCTAAGTAAAAACATCTTATCATCTGCACATGATGACGTGGTTCCTCTTTGCCCAGGCTTATTCTCTCAATTGTTTATCTTGTCTTATTCCACTAGTGTGCATTGTCAGGGCTATATCAAGTAAGACCATGGTCTCTATTATCCTTGCTCATATTGAAAAAGGTCTCCAGCATTTCTTTAGCAAGGATAATGGTAGGTCTAGAGTTTGGAACAGATACTGTTTGCCATATTAAGGAATGCTCCATTTATTCTTAGGCTTTTTAGTGATATTTCATTCTATCTGTCTCTCTATCCATCTATCTATCTATCTATCCATCCATCCATCCATTCATCTATCTGTCTCTATCATCTCTCTGTCTGTCTGTCTGTCTGTATATCCATCTATCCATCTATCTGTCTGTCTGTCTGTCTATCTATCTATCTATCTATCTATCTATCTATCTATCTATCTATCTATCTATCCAGCTCTCTATTGTTGACTGGGTCTCCCTATCTTGCACAGGCTATAAGTACAGGGGCTACTCACAGGCCCTGATCCCACTACTAATTGGCACAGACTGGTTTGCCCTTCCTTAGGAAGTGTGGGGACCCTCTGCTTCTGGGGTTTCACCATAATACTGCCTCAATCAGAACAGCTCAGAACTGCCCAGCTTAGGAGATCTGCCAGCCCAGTAGCGGTGATCGCAGGCGTGCACCACCATGTTTGGCCTTTTTAGTGTTTTTACAGAAATGGCTGTTGCATTTTACTAGAGTCTTTTTCTAGATCTGTTGATTACAATTGTGGTTCTTTTTATTTTGTCATTAATATGAGCTATTACATTTGTCATTTCCGTAACGTTAAACCTAGCTTGCCTTTGTGGATTATAATCCAGCCTGACCCCCATGAAGATTCTTTTCCTTGAGTTGCTGTGGCTTCTTCGATATATCAGGACCATATTTGACTCAGAAAAGGCAAACAGTTCTCTCATGACCCTGTTGGGGTGGAAACTTCCTCCTCCTTCATGGCTTGGTCGGTGGGTTTTTGTTTTCTGAGATCAAATTATTTAACCTCTCATTTTCTTGTTCTGTTCATCTGGACACCTTATGTTTTTGTAAATGTTCGTCTACTTCATTGAGTCCTCATTTTGGTCAGCATATCATTAGGCAAAGCCAAACTTGATTCTAACAGTTTCATTTCTTTCATTTCTATCTATTGTGAGATCTGGATGTGTGTGACAACAGCTAGCAATAAAGTAAAACTGAAAATTGGAGAAGGAGGGAGAGAGAGAGAGAGAGAGAGAGAGAGAGAGAGAGAGAGAGAGAGAGAGACAGAGACAGAGAGACAGAGACAGAGAGACAGAGACAGAGACAGAGAGAGACAGAGAGAGACAGAGAGAGACAGAGAGAGGTGGGGGGGGTTGATGGGACCAGCTGCCATAGGAGACTGAAGGGGACAAAGAGCAAAGGTCCAAGTGGAGAGGTTGCCTTTGGGGAGGAAAAGGGTCACTGGATCCTCAGAACCTTTGGGAAAAGGAGGAAAGGAGGCTGGGAATAATACTTGTATAGTTTGAAAGGTGTGATTGGGGAGGAGAGGGTGAGATAGCCTCAGTATTTCCCAGTGAAGTAGGAGGTGGTCTCTTCTGCTGAGAGGGAAAGAAGGGATCAGGGGTAAGGTAGAAAGCTTGAGAAAAGAAGGTTCAGAATAGCTTCTGTGGCGAGTGGGAGTTGGATGGAAGAATGGATCAGGGAAGAGTGAAAGGATTGCTGTGTCCCAGTGAGGGCCCAGGCAGCATGTATGGGAGCAGGAGTTGCAGTAACTATTGGGGATCTGATTTGTCAAGTGCTTTTGTTTATAAAAGCATGAGATTTCTCCCTAGCAATACTGTGAAGGAGACAATAGTTGGGATATTTCCATGAGGCTTTACATAGAATATCTCCAGGGAGCCTTACAGCAGCAGCCCTTCAAGGGAGGGGACTACAGGTATTATGATCTGTATTTGACAGACTTATCTGACATATGGGGAGACTGAGACTCTAAGAGTAAGAAGCCTTGCCCATAGTTACACAGTATGGCAAGGGCAGGATTGGAACTTCTGCCTCCAAGGAAAGAAGGAAGGAAGGAAAGAAGAAAGGAAGGAAGAACCAAGCATTTATTAAGACATGCTATGTGCCCAGCACTGTGCTAAGTGCTTTATATAAACACAATCTCATTTGATCCTCACAACGACCCTGGGAGGTAGGTGCTGTTATTATCTGCATTTTACAGATGAGGAAGCCAAAGCAAAAAGAGGTTAAATGACTTGCCCAGGGTCATACAGCTAGTAAATGTTTGAGGGCCAGATTTGAACTCAGGTCTTCTTGCCTCCAGGCCCAGTGCTCTATCTACTGCATCACAGCTGCCTATCACACTCCTCATCAGCTCTGCTGTCACTCAACTATCTAGTGCCATGTCAGTGTCACTCACAATGTTGACTCTCTAGAATTCAAGGAGTTATTTTCTTCACTGAGGTTTTTATATTTCTTTTTCCAAGCTGTTAATTGTCTTCTCATAGCTTTCTCAGGTCTCACTTCTTTTCCCATTCTTCCCTTTATTGTATTCCCTATTCATTTGGTTGAAAACAATTTTCTTTTTTGCTCTTTCTTAAACTCTCACTTTCTTCTAGGAATTCTTGTTGGTCTTGTGTCCCAGCTGTGTTTTTCTCTGAGGCTTTGCTTGTAGCTATTTTCAAATCATTCTCTTCTTCTGGGTTTGTGTGTTGAGCTTGAGGTAACTAGGGGGCACTGCAGTCGAGAGGGCACTGGTCCTGGAGTCAGAAAATCCTGAGTTCAAATCTAGCCTTAGACATTTTACTAGCTATGTGACCCTGGGCAGGTCATTTCACCTCCGTTTAGCTTAGTTTCTTCAGCTATAAAATGAAGATAATAACAGCACTACCTGCTAGGGTTGTTGTGAGGATCAAATGAGATCATATTTGTATTTTTTTTTTTTGCCTTTTTTGGTGAGGCAATCGGGTTAAGTGATTTGCCCAGGATCACACAGCTAGTTAAGTGTCAAGTGTCTGAGGTCACATTTGAACTCAGGCCCACCTGACTCCAAGGCTGGAGCTCTATGTACTACGCCACCTAGCTGCCCCATCATATTTGTAAAAAAAAAAAAAGGCATTTAGCACAGTACTTGACACATAGTATTTAAATGATTTCCCCCTTCTCTTCCTTTTGAGTTTCTCTGTCCTTGTACTAGCTCTTAATGTTTGGTTTTTTTTTGTTTGCTCATTCTTCCAGCCTGTGTCCTGACTTTAGACTGGATGTTAAGGCTGGGCTCTGCCAGGCTTCTGGGGAGAAGGTCTGTTGTGTCTTTCTGCTCCTTTCCAACCCCGTGTGGGGGCCTGCATGTGTCAGCCCGCTTTCCACTCTACCAGGCTGACTCCAGCAGGGACTGTGGCAAGTTTGTCCCTGTTGAGTACTCTCACTGTAGGAACTCCTTTTCCTGAAGCAAATTGGCAAATGACTCGTAGAGTAGCCTCTATGTTACCATATTTAAATGGGTTCAGACAGGAGATGATTGAATTGTTGGGTTTTTTTGAGGAATGTGAATATGTCAGCTGAGGGGGGGGAATAACAGCAAAGATACCCAATGCACTGATCACCTGTGCCCAGGTGTGCCCATCTGTTTTATTGGCAGCTCGGCCCCCTCCCTCAGGCACAGGCTTCTGGGGGAGGTTCATGCCATGTGGTAGCAGCCCTTCTCCATGTTGAATGTGTGTGTCCCTGCTCCGACCTGCTTCCTTGCTTATGTCCCCCTTCCAGGAGAGAAGCCATACAAATGCACCTGGGAAGGCTGCACCTGGAAATTTGCTCGCTCGGACGAGCTGACCCGGCATTTCCGCAAGCACACGGGCATCAAACCCTTCCACTGCTCAGACTGTGACCGAAGCTTCTCCCGTTCAGACCACCTGGCCCTCCACCGGCGGCGGCACATCATGATGTGAGCCTGGTTGCCGCCACCTCCTCTCCCTGCTCTCCTCCTCCTCCTTGTCCTCCCCACTTGCCCTCCCCTCCTTCCCCCTTTTTCTCTCTTCTCCCTTCCCATTCCACACCATAGTCACCACCATCACAGCCATGAGGCCCTCGGCTCTGGCAGTGCTGCCAGGAGGAGGGAGAGTGAGGAGGGTGAAGCACAGCGGCTTCCCATTGACTTCCTTAGAGCCCAGGCCTGGCCACACTGCTTCCGTGGCTCCGTCCACACCTTTGGCCACAGCCACAAGTGAACAGAGTCTGGGAGCTCACGTCTGGGCTGAGCTAACCCTGTTCTCTCTCTTCTTTCCTGTCGTTTCTTTTTCCTTTCTGTTGTTCCACCTCCTACCCAGCTCTTGCCCTGCTTCGGATCAGTGTTTGCAGTGAGTCGGCTGGTAACTTTCTGATCCCCCCTTCTCCCATGTAGGCCCTTGAGGGACGTGAATGCAAAGTAATTGGTCATTGCCCAGATTTCTTCCCTCCCCGCCCCCCCGACTGAGCTTCCTCCCTACCCCCCAACCCCATCCCACCCCATGCCACCCCTTCCCCCAGGTCCCAAGCCCACTGCCCAGACATAACAGGCTGCTGGGTTCAAGCTAAACCTGGGAAGCTGCTGTCCATGGTGACTTAGTTGAGGCTGCCATGCCCCAGTGCTAGAGACCCTTGGCCAGGAGAAGCCACAAGCAGGAGGTAGGGCCTTGGTTCTGGGATAGATGGCAGCTTGGAGCAGGGCTGGGGGCTGCTGGGTGATCAGGCACTTTTCTTCCCAGGAAACTGGCAAGTTCCCTGGGATCTTTCTCCAAGACTGAGCCCCAACAGTGGAACGCAGACGACCAGTTGGCAGCTACTTCAGGGTACCTCCTGCTGCCCACTTACCTGCCAATGGACTCGGATGCTGAGTAAGCCCCTGCTGCCTTCCTAATGTCAGGCCAGCAGGGCTCATTTAGAAACAGTGTTTCCCAATACACCAGCAGCCCCCAGGCCCTGGCCTTGTCCTACTCCTGAGGAGGGGAGAGGAGATAGGCAGCAGCAGTTCCTGGGGCTTCTCTGCCTCCTCTTATGCACAGACCACTGGCTGCTGCTGCTGCCGCTGCCATTGCTGCCTCACTTGCCCTCCCAAGCTGGAGGGCGGCAGGCCGTGTTTTCTCCCACTTTCCCTTTTCAAGGGCCCCTGAGCTGGAGCCATCCTTACTGGAAGGTCCCACTGGCCACTTAGCTTTTCTCTCCACCTTTTGCCTGCTTTTTTCTAGTTGGGTGCTTTGCCCCTGCCTACCAGGGGCCTTCTGGCCTTGCTGTTTGTTGGTATGGGAATCTTGGGGGCTGAGCTGGGCTCATCTGGGCCCCGGGCTCTCATAGTGCCTTTTGCACTGAGGGCACCCTATGTCAGTGGACCTGAAAGATCCAGGCCTGACATTTTCCCACCTTGTCTTCCACTTCCCCCAGATGGGTTGCTAATCACATGACTGGGGACAAGGACTGTATTTGCAGCAATTGCTTTTGGTATTCCGTACCAACCTCCAAGGAAATGCCCCCATTGAGGGGCGTCAGGGGGCCTGCTCGTTAGCCTGACTTCTAGGCAGGCGTAGCCAGGAGCTGAGCAGCAGATTGAGAGGAGAACTTCCTGGCATGATTCCTCCCCCTGCTTCTTACCTGAAGCACTGGCAAGTTCCAGACCCAGGAACTTGGGAGCCCAAAGTTAATGCTGTCTGTTCCCAAATGGGACACCTTTTAGGGGAGGGTGCCACTAGGCTCCCTCAATAGTACCCTACAGTTTGTGACTCATAGAGAGGCCTGAGAGAGTGGCCAAGGGCCAAGGGTTTGTTTGGGACTTGGAACGAACGAGATGTTCCCTTTCTGGTTCTGATGTTAAAGCACGTTTACATTTCCTAAGCACATTTTGGCAGGTGGTCGGGAGAAGGGTCCTGGGCGGATACTGAGCTGGGTGGGGGTGGGAGGGATATTGTGGGGGATGATCTGCACTCAGGCCTCATGAGATGTTGTTGCCATGGGCTAGACAAAGCATTTGTCGCTCATTGTGTGGTGGGTTTTGAAGTTCTACTCTTCTTTGGAGTGTTCAGCTTGGACTTATTTCTACAGAGCCTTGGTTAGTGCAGATGGGTACATGAAGATGGGCTGTTTGGCTGCTCTCGGGCACTAGCCTCTGGAATTAGGGTTTGTTTGGCCAAGCCTGGCCTTGGGGAGATGCGGGGTGCAGCTGAGAGGGGCGCTGACTGGCTCCCGATGATTGGCGCTCGCTCGGGCCCTGCCCCTGTGCTCGGTACCAGGCAGGCTCTTCTTCCCAGGGCCCTCCCTGTACAGCTCTTCTTCTGGGTCACTCAGAAGAATTTCCCTGCCTCTGAGAAGCAGGTGCAGCCTCTTGGAGGGAATCCCAGGGGGACAGCCCCTCTTTCACTTCCCTGAAAGGTGGTTAGTCCAGCCTCTTCTCAAACACTGGAAGTGGCAGTGAGCTCACTACCTCCAGAGGCAGTCCCTTTTATCTCCATGTGTTTTCTTGGGGCTACAAGGCTAACTTCCCCACTCTGCACAGCCCTTCTTCCCCAGGTCTCTCCACCTCCTGGTCTCAGGCACAACCCTTTTCCCAGGGATCTCTTCAATGAAAGAAATAAAACTAAGTACATTTTTTTTCCCTGTGATTACTGTTTGATTTGTATAGACTTTTAGAAAACTTTATACTGTATAGTGTACAGGTCTATTGTTTATAGTTGATTAAATAGTTGATTAAATCTAGTGTGTGTGGTCATTTCTGTGCCAGGCAGGGGTGGGGGAAAGGGAGAGGAGCAGGCTTCCCCAGCATCCTCTCTGCTTCAAGGCTATTTGCCCCATCAATGTTCCAGGCTCTAGATCTAAGGCCTCCTGGTGCTGCTCGGAGAAGGGCCAGGTAAGGGGCTGGCGAAGTGGGGTGATTTATTCATGCACATCTTGTGTGTTCCCAGGCAGTTTTTAGGGAGGACCTGAGCCGATTTTTGGCAATGTTGAATTCATTGTCTCTCTCCTCCCCCTCCACTGGCGCCCCCCCCATCTCCCTCTCTCACCAACCTCCCATTCTCCCTCTCTGTCTCTCTGTCTCTCTCTCTCTGTCTGTCCTCTCTCTCTCTGTCTCTCTCTCTTTCTCCAGTTCAGCTGATGAGCATCTCAGAGGCTTTCTCTTTACAGTTGCCGATCTCTTTAGAAGCATAGAGCCGACCCAGGAAACTGTGCCCACCAGCCCTTGTACTTCTCTACGTTGTTGGTGGTGGGGGAGGGCAACCTTGGAAGCCAGTGAGGAAGCAGGCAGGTCACGAGGACCTGGGTCCATCTTGGCTGGGAGCATCTTTTCCCAGATGCCTTGGCATCCTGCTGTCCCCTGCTTTGTCTCTATCTCTCTCCAAGTAGGCAAGGGCAAATGTTATTTGTCCAAATTTAGGAGACACTCTAGATCCATTTTCATTGCCTTCCTCCTGTCCCTAATTTTTCAGACCCTTCCCAAATCACTGGCTCATATTTTGGAACTGTCAGGTTGTATTTAATACTATGTAACACGTGTCCCAAAGCCCTTTGGTGTAGGATACTCTCCTGATTGGTGGCAGGACAGAGCAGCAAGTCTTCAAGGACTCCTCCCAACTTGCTCTTCAAGCATTGAGTTGCTTCAGGAGCTTCAAGAGAGAAGATGGAAGAGACTGAGGTCCCTTCAGATCACTGGAGGATAAAACTCAGGGAAGACAACAACCTCTCAGTTGGATTGGTCCCATACCAATGAGTCACAATCATTTCATATCAGACAGGACCCCAGCTAAGTGACATGCCCTCGACATGACGGAACTTCTCATTTTCCAGACAGCTCGTGTACACTGTGGCGAAACAGTGTGAGGCTGAGGCTGCTGAGAAGGACCAGAGGTGCTAGCACGGAGCACTGACAAGAGGTCACCAGGAGGTTGCTCTGATGCCACCTAGTGGACAGAGCCGTGGACATAGAGCTGCTGGAGGGAAGCAGACAAGCAGGCAGGGACCAGTACGGGGGCACTATCATGAAATATGGCAGCGGGCTCAGTGAAGCTAGAGCAGAAGACTCCACTAGCTGGGGCCACCTTTGAATTGTAGTCCTAGCATTTATAAGCTGTGCGCCTTCAGACAAGTCACTCTCTTTCTAGGCCTCAGTTTCCTTTTCTGTGAAAAGAGTCTAGGCTAGATATTTCCTAATAGATGCTTTTCCAATAAGGTCTGTTCCAGCTTTAAATTCAGTGGTCTTCTGATCCCCGAAATTTCCCTTGCCTAGTCTGGGTCCCCTTGGGCACATCTCACACTGCTTACGATTCTTGGTTCACCTTTCTGATAGCCAGGTTCTCTGGGGCTCCATTAACCTGTTTGTAAAACTTACCTCAGTGGCTATTTGTGGCAATAATTGAGGAGTCTTAGGATGAACGATATGATATTTACATGGTGATGAAATCCGATAATCCTGGAAGGAGGGAAGGAGGGAGAGCAGGAGGGGGAGAAGAGGGGGGAGAAGGGAGGGGGAGGGGGAGGGGAAGGAAGAATAGCGAGGGAATGAAGAGGGAGGAGAGAGACCATGTGCATGTGCGTGTGTGTGTCTGTGTGTGTGTGTGTGTGTGTGTGTGTGTGAGAGAGAGAGAGAGAGAGAGAGAGAGAGAGAGAGAGAGAGAGAGAGAGAGAGAGACGGAGACGAGGGAGAGAGCTGAGCCTTCACTGGCTCCAGCCTCATGTGGCTTCCTATAAATTAGTCCATTTCTCCCCTGGTTATGCTGATCCCTGTGGGAACAGAGTCCTAATTAGGGCCCTTTCCTTTACAGTAGCTAGCATCCAGCAGCTCCTCAATGCTTTGAGGTACAGCCCCTTTATCCTGGGTGATGAGGAGGCATGTTTCTTCTGAACACAACATTCCAGGTGCCATCTGCTGGGGTTCTCCTACCTCTCACCTCCCTGGGCTTGGAAGCTTGGACCCTCCTGAGGGGCTCTTTTGTCTGTTGCCTCCCACCACTGATTCTTACTGACCTTGCAGGCCACTCAGACCCGCAGATCTTTTTTCAGAAATCTTTGTCTAGCCAGGCTTCCCCCATCCTGCGCTTTGGGAAGTTGATTGGATATATGGGTGAGTGTCCCCATCTTCTGAAAGGTAAGTGCACCCCTCTATACCTGAACACCCATACAAAGCTTTACCAAGAGATGGAAAACTCTTACTCACAGGGAGATGTGGAGACCCATTTAAACACAAATATCCCCTCCTAGGGAGATGAGGAAACACACTTATCAAGACTCTTGTGTGGAGATGGACACCCCTCTCACACCACCCATATGTGCTCCCACATACCCCACACACATGCTCACACACCACATTACAAACGTGTGTGATATGTGAATATATGTGTGCTATGTGAGCATATGTGTGTAGTATGATGCTATGAGCATGTGCGTGACCATGTGTGAATATATGTGCATGGTATGTGAGCATATGCTCACGCACGTGTTCACACACCACACACATGCTCACACACCACACACATGTTCACACACATCACACCCTCACACCTTCCTATGTTTGTGTAATGCCACACACACCACACACACATGCTCACACACCACACACATGTTCACACACATCACACCCTCACATCTTCCTATGTTTGTGTAATGCCACACACACCACACACACATGCTCACACACCACACACATGTTCACACACATCACACCCTCACATCTTCCTATGTGTTTAAGCACGTTTCCTCATCTTCCTAAATGTTTGTGTCCCTAAGTCCGTTCCTGGGAGGGTCTGTGTATATGGAAGCATTGACCTTCACTCAGTGTGAGTGTACGTTTTCCCTTCTCCCTATGAAATTGGGGTTGGACAGCTTCCCAGGAGATATGCTGGGGAATAAATGAAAGGGGGTGTGTGTGTTATGAGCAACTTGGTGGGAGGGAGAATCAGGAAAGGGTTCCTTCCTCTGGGAGGTAGCTAAGGGTTCCAAGAGTCAGAATTAGGAGGAGAACCTTCCAGACTCGGGGCACAGATAGAGGAGGCCCAATGGAGAGAGTTTGTGAGGGGGAGGGATATCAGTCAGTCAGTCAGTCAATCAACATTTACTGAGTGCCTACTGTATGCCAGGCACTATGCTAAGCACTGGGGATACAGAAAGAGGCAAAAGACAGCCCCTGCACTCAAAGAACTTCCAATCTAGTAGGAGAGACAGTGTGAACAAGCACAAACAGAATCCATAGGAAATAATGACCAGAGGGAAGGCCCTGGAGTGAGGAAGGGAAATCCGTAGTCAGAGCAGTCCAGGTCTGGTGGAGAGTCAGAGAGAAGGTGCAGAGACGAAGCGTCCTGTTGGAGGTCCGGGCCACTGGACTGAGGAGTGCGTAAGAACACCGGGAAGGTAGGATGGGCCAGGTTAGGAAGGCCTTTGAAGGCCAAACAGAGCATCTTGTATTCACTCCTGGAGACAATAGGGAGTCACTAGAGTTTCTTGAGTGGGAGGATGGGGATACAATTGGACCTTCATTTTAGGAAAATCACTTTGCCAGCTGAATGGACCCCGCTCCCAGCAGCTACTACAGTGCTCCATGTGTGAGATGATGAGGGCCTGCCCCAGGGTTGGGGAAAGGGTCAGAGGACAGAAGGCGGTGGATTTGGAGATGCTGTAGAGGCAATACCCATAGGCCTTGGCAACAGACTGGATGTGGGGAGAGTGCGAGAAAGTGAGGAGTCTAGGATGACTCCTGGGTTGGGATCCTGCTGGACTGAGAGGATGGGGGTGCTCTCAGCAGTAGAGAGAAGGTAGGAGGAGGGGAGGGTTCCATTTGGGACATGCTGAGTCTAGATATCCAGTTTGGAGTGTCTGAAAGGCAGCTGGAGATGGGAGACTGGAGGTCAGCAGAGAGTTGGAGGCAGCAAAGGGAGATCTGAGAATCATCCCTGTCCCCAAAAAGCTTAAATTCTATTGGTGTGGAGGCAACATGGTAGACATCGAATAAATATGTCCAAAGGGTGAAGTTCCAGGGCAATGCACAAGGCAGTTTGGGGTAGTTGGGACTGGGAAAGTGGTGCTTGGCCTGAGTCTTAAATGAAGTAAAGGATTCTAAAGTGTGAGGAGAGAGGGCATTTCTGGCATGGGGGGACAAAGGCCCAGAGGTGAGAGATTGGGTGTTAGATGTGAAAAACAGTAAGAAGGCTACACCATAGCATGTGGGCAAGGCCAGAAAGGTGGATGGGGATAGAGTTTTGGAGGACTTGAAATGCTAGAGGAGTCTGTGTTTGATCCTACAGACGATAGGGAGTCATTCACATTTAATGCTGGGGGTAGGGCGGGCAACTCTGAGGAGAATGTATTGGAGACGAGAGAGTGCACAATGGCAGCTCAGGAGAGAGACGGGTGAGATCTGGCAATCTGGGAGATATCAGCATCAAGATCACTGAGTGAGAGGGGCCAGAAAGAGAGGAGAAGGCCAGGAACGGCGACTGAGGCTGAGAAGGAGGAGGAGAAGCAGGAGACAGAGTCTGCCCAAGAGGGAGGCCACAGAGAGGTCAGGAAGGATGAGGCTCAGAAAAGGCCTTTGAATTTGGCAATCAGATCACTGAGGCCTTGGGAAGGTTACATGCTGAGGTTGGGAGCCAGGCTGCAGAGAGTCAAGGAGAGAGTGAGGGAAGAGAGAAGGGGCAGCATTTTCTTGGAGTTTGGCTGTGAAAGGGAGGGGAGATAGAGGATGATGGCTTGAGGGAATAGTAGGGCCTAGTAAAGGTTGTTTAAGGGCCAGGTTGTGCTTGTGAGTGTGGGCAGCAAGGAAGTAACCAGGAGGTGTGGAGAGAGAGAGGAGGGAGGGGGACAGAGACAGAGACAGAGACAGAGACAGGCAGAGACACAGAGAAAAGGGGGAGAGAGAGAGAAGACAGAGAGAGAGACACACAGAGACAGAGACAGAGATAGAACGATAGAGGGGTTCTGAAGATAGGGGAGGAGGCAGGATCCAGGACACCTCAAGAGGGGAGGAAGATTAGAAGAAAGGAGAAGAGAGTGGGGCATGGTGTTAAGGGGTAGGAGAATGTAGAGAAGGAAGGAAGGGGGAGCTCCGTGAGCAGGATTTGAGGAGAGAGAAGCACTTGGGGGAATTAAGAAAGGAGGTCCCCACTTCTCTGGAGATTGGAGCAAAGGGAAAACGAGGGCTGGTGTTGAGGGTATTTGAGATGCAGAATCTGTTTTCCAAGGGGTTTCCCGTCCACAATGTCTGTGGGGGCTGGACTGGAAGCAGGATGGATCTTCTGGGAGAGGTCCTTGTATTTAGAAGAATTGCTGGCATTTCTAGAGTGCTTTCAAGTTTGCAAAGTGCTTCATAAATAGGATCTCGTAGGTTCCTCACAATAGCTCTGAGAGGTGGGGATTGTTATGATCTCCATTTTACACATAAGGAAACTGAGGCAAACAGGTGCAATGATGTGCACAGTGTCACACAGCTAGTCAGTGTCTGAAGCTGGATTTGAACTCGTTTTCCTGAGTCCAGATCCAGTGCTTTCTCCACTGTCACCCCCCCACCCATGCCTCCTGCTTTGGCTTGGGCTTACCCACCTAGCAGTACCAGATGATTGGCAGCTGGTGCTTATTTGTGGTTGGTGTTGGTGGCAAGGATGGTCAGAGGGGCAGGGCTGGGGCGGGGCAATGTCAGTCCTGGGGATCTTGGGTTTAGCTGTCCATCAATGGCATCTGGTGGCAGGGGTGCAGACGCCTTCTCTAATGATGTAAGGGCTGACCTGTGTGTTACGGTGGGGCTCTTGAGCTTAATTAGTCAGTTGTTGTGGGAGAGAGATGCCTAGCCCCTTCTACAAAGCATTGCTCCACTCAGTCATGGCTTGGGGACCAGGCAGGAAGCCACATTGGTGGTGTAGAAGACACTGTCACTCCTGGGGCTCTCTGCTGCCAGAAGCTTTTCTCCTCAGTGATGGCTGGATGGAGGCACTGCCAGTCCTGGGCCACTAGAGCTTCCCTGCCCATGGCTGCTGATGGCTGGGGGGATGGTATGGCCATTCACCAATGGGCGGGGCTGCCGGTCCTGAGAGCAAGAAAGTTGATCTGGGAACAATGACCATATTGGCAGTTGGTGTTGGCGATGGTAAGGATAGTGTCCTCCTCCCCCCAAAGCGCTGCTCCGTTGATGCTGGTCTTGTGGAAGACACTTGTGCTTGTCTGTCAGTTGGTGGCAGCCAGTCAGCAGTTGGTGGGGATGCAGGCCGGGGTGTCCGGGGGAGAGGGGGACAGCGCCATTCCTGCTCCTCTTGGGCTTATTGGCCCATTGGTGTTGCTGGTTGGCGGTTGGTGGGGATGTCCAACCCATCATCCAAGGAGTTTTTCCTTTTAATGTAAGCACTTGGCTGGAAACAACCCACTGGTCTGCAGAGCGTTGCTGCTATGCTGCTTGTGTGGCTGGCACAGTGGGTGCCCAGGCTTTACTTCCCTGAGGCTGGCTGCGGGGGCTGAGCTTCTCGGCGGGAGGTGGCCAACAGGGATTTGTGCCGGGTGTTGCCAGGTGGTGGTGGTGAGTGTGTGGCTCTCCTCCATCACGATGGGGAGATGGTGGCTGCAGGGGCCAGTCTGGAAGCATGGGTTTGTATGTGTCGAGGTGGGAATTGTTTTTCTTTAGGATGTAATCGGGAAGAGAAGACCTGACCCTGAGTGTCAGCAGTGCGCCGAGTGCTAGACCTGGAGTCAAGAGGACGTACTGCTTCCCGGCACTGACTAGTGTAGCCCTGGACAAGTCATTTAACCTCCGGCAACCTCAGTTTCCACACCTATAAAATGGGGACGACAATAGCACCTACCGCCCAGGGCTGTTGTGAGGATCAAATAGTCAATAAACGTTATTAAGTGCCTCCAGTGTGCCACGCTGTCAAGTAGCTCTCAATCTAATGAGAGAAGACCTACAGAAAAGCTGAGAACCCCAGCGAGGGGAGCAGCCGAGGGGATGAAGCAAGCTGGCCAATCCTGAGCCCTCTCTGAGGGGCGACTGCGGGAGGTGTTCATTGCTCCCCGCCTCTCCCCCCCCCAGCCCTCCAATGGGAGAGGAGAGGCACCTGAGGGCGCGGAGGAGGTAGCAAGCATGAAAGCTGAGTCAATCTGCCTGAGCCATGATGAAATTTCAAGTGATGAGCTTATCCTGGGGGAGGCAGGATGTTCCTGGAGTCCAACCAAGCCAAGCATCTGGTGGGGAATGAAGGAATCTTATCAAATGATTTAATGTTTACTAAAAGCACTAAGGCAAGTGCCCGGCACCTAGCAGACCCTGGATAAGTGCTTCTTCCCCTTCCTTTGGGCACCTTAGAGAGCACCTAGGCCAGTCCTCTACAAGGCTCGCCGGTTAGGAGTTCCAGAGCAGAACTGGTCCCAAAGGAAGGAATGAGCCCTTTGCAGAGAACAAGAACCATCGCTGAGAACTGCCCATGGTCAGTCACATCATGGCCCTGTGATGCACATCTTTTTCGTGATTAACTAACAAAATCCATAACCCACCTTCTCCTTACCTGGGGCCTGGGTGCCACATGAAGAAAGTCCAGGGTCCCTTCCCATGGGTACTCTTGTCCCTGGCCCTTCTTCACTTGCCCCATCACCGGAATCCCAGACTCACATGGCATCCATCCATTGCCTTGCAGGGTGACATCTGTGGTCACTGAGGATTGCCCAGGATGGACAGGTAGCCCCTTAATGGCAGCAAATGGGAGAAATGAGCATCCATGCCCAGGATGGACAGGTAGCCCCTTAATGGCAGCAAATGGGAGAAATGAGCATCCAGCCTGTATATAAAGCCCTTCACTCTAGGACTGATCACATCAGGGGAGGCCTGGTGAAAACTGGCTGGTGTACTCGGCCTAACGTCACGTTATTCCAGTTTTGGGCACTGAGCACGCCCAGCCCTCCTTTCTCCCTCCTCCCCGTGACAGTCTCCTCCCCAGATCCTTCCCAGCCCTGTTAGCCTCCACAGGAAATTCCCTAGTCTCTTAATGGCCAAGGCAGTGTGACCTAAGTGGAGGCAGGGGATCCTGGGTTTGAATCCCACCTCAGATGCTGGCTCTGGACCAGTCACTTAGGCCGTCCTTGCTTCAGTTTCCTGTAATGAGGGCTTGGATTCGGCGCCCTCGGGGGTCTCCTCTCGCTTTGGTCTTTGACTGCCTCTTCCAGCGGGCTGACATCCAGTCTGGGGTTTGGCTGCCACGCCCCACTGTTCTGCTTTGTGACGCTTGATGCCCTCTCAAACCCCCACGTGGTTTTCAGACAAAAACTGCTGCCTAGCCAGGCCTCCCTGCTGGGCCCCATGCCCATTTTGTGCTTGTGAAGTTTGCCCTTCGCCATTGCCACAGCTTCGATGGCCCGGTAACTTGTCCAATTATTTCCTGTTTCTCCCCTCAGCCCACCTTGTCCCAAGTCATCTGCCAAGGTCCAGTTCTAGTCCTGAACTATTAAAGTGTCCCCAAGTTAGACTGTTAAAGGCTCTTTTTCTTGTTTTAGATGTCTCTGTGCAGTGCTCTGTCTCTGTCTGTCTGTCTCTCTTTTTCTCCCTCCCTCCCTTCTGTCTTTTCCTGTATCTGCTCTCTGTTTCTCTCTCTGTCTCTCTCTCTTTCTGTCTGTCTCTCTTTTTCTCCCTCTTTCCATTCTCTCTGTCTCTCCTTTTCTCCTTCTTCCTCTTGGCTTCCCTCCCTCCCTCCTCCCCCTCCTCTCTTACTGAATCATAAGCTGGCTTCTGGAGGGCAGAGACAGTCATTCATTTAGCTCTGGATTTCACCCAATGCCTAACCTTGCTGAGATTAGGTTGTGAATGCTTGTGGAATGCATTAAACTCACCCAATGTGCATTTGTGTTCAAGGCAGTGAATGAAAGAGGGAGCTTGGAGTAGTAGCAAAGGCAACTTCTTTCTAGAAGAAAAGCTGTCTGAGAATGTGCTGTGCCTGAGAACTCTTGCTGCCCATGGAATCTGCAGAGGAAGAGAGGTCAGGCCCAACAGATTCCAAAATGGGAGGCTGTCATGCACCATTTGTAAGAACTCAATATTCACCAGCTTTGGAGCTGTTTGGGTACCTAGGAGGGAGGGTGAGCTGCCCAAGCCCCTGGCCTCAAGAGAGAGCCAACAGTAGGGTGAGGAGAGGTGGCTTGCCCACACCAGTTGGGGTCACCAAAGGGGTGATGCATAGGAGTCACAAACCACAGGTCTAGGGTCCTGGAGGCAGAATAGAAGATGATACTGAGGAGGAATCTAAGTGAGCACCTTGTCCTCTGGGGGGTGGGGTAGGTGCAGAGGCTGGTCGTCATTTCTGATTCTTGCCCATTCCTGGTGAATCTGGACTTGTTGGAAAGGGTGTGGACAGGTAGCCAATCCTGGAATGAGCCAAGCTTCCTGTGAGCATCTGAGGCATTCTTTGGGGCCCAGAACCCCAATAGCACTGTTGTGAGCTTCTCACCTGCCATCAGGGGGCGCTCCCATGTCTGCAGTGAGCAAAGCCAAATGATGGAGAAGTGGACTGACTGGATGGGATGGCTGGTCCGGTAAAGTACAGGGTGGGTGAGAAACCAAGGTGGGGAGATGCCACATCTCGTTGGAGGGAAATTTGTTCTTTTTGTGTGACATGAAGTGAAGTGGTTCAACAACTGGAAAGAAGAAAACCCAGGCTCTGGGGGCTCATGGACATGATGGGAAGCCAAAGGAACCTGTAGCAGGGGCCACAGAAGCAGAGTCTTTCGTCTGGAGCACAGGCTCAGGGCCACACACCCTCGACAAGACCTAGAGTGCTACCTGCTGGTCCAGCAGACTCTAGCCTTTGTGCTCAGTGTCTTTTAGGGAGCAGTAGCTGCTCAGTCAATGGTTGTTGAATGACAGAATGAAGGAATGAATGACTGCACACACTCCCACTGGTGAGGCTCAATGGACCTGTTTAAAGTGTTTACTGCCTTTTGGTATGGGCAACCCCTGGGCTCACCAGAAGACTTGGGGAAAGGCAGCGATTTGACATGGAGCAGGAGTCCCATTTACTCCAAGCTTTGGGCGCTGGGCTGGGGCTGGGCAGGAAGGAAGAATGACCATGCTTGGACAAAAATGAGTGGAATTTCCAGTGGGTTTCAGCAATTATTGAAGTTTGGTTTGGGGAGTAGGAGGCAAGGTGGTGAGGGGAGTGGCCGTTCAGAGAGAATCTGGAGCAGGCACTGGCTCTGGGCTGTGAACAATCCTGGGTCGGCTAACTTACTAGCTCTGGGACTTTGAGCCACTCCCTGGCCTCTCTGGGCCTCACTTTACCTCTTTTGAAAACGAAGGCGTTGGAGTCGATAATAAGCAGGGGACATTTAAGGTCGTTTCTAGCTGGAAATGCTTTGAAATGGGTGGAGGGAGAAGAAGGGGGCAGATTGGTCAGAGCTGTCCAGCCTAGCGTCCCAGCTTTGAAAGGCAAAGATGCAAAGTCTCTGGGTGTTTATCTGCCCTAGGGAAAGGAAGAGGACAGGGAAGCGTACTGCAGGAAGAATCAGGGTATCTGCTTTGGGAATCTGGGCTGAGTCCTTTCCCTTTCCTTGTCTCAGTTTCCCATTCTAGCTGTAACGCTAAGGTTTTCTGCTGTGGCTGTGCGGGGGCGTGCCCAAGTGCCCCTCCCCTGGCCTCCCCTCCTTTCCCCTCCTCAAATACCGGACACGGACACACACACACACACACACACACACACACACACACACACACCACACTCACACTCTCACACTCTCGCACTGGTGCTCGCACTGCTCGCAATTTCCACTTGGGAGGGAGGCTGGTGGGAGAAGGAGTAAGGCCAAGTGGCAGCTGAGTCAGGGTTGGGGGCCATGGAGCAGCTGGGAGCTGAAGAAACCCTGTGAGCAGCCGCAGCATTGCTGAGAGAGGCTCAGGTAAGCCCGGCAGCTGCTCGTCTGCTGTGGGACCTGCCCCAATCCCTGCAGTAGAACCGAAGCTGAGGAGGGAAGGGGGCCATGGTGTGTGCGTGAGTGTGTGTGTGGCGGTCTTTGGCCGGATGGCGCGCTGTGGCAGACTCCCCCAGATCCCCCAGGCCCCCCTACTTCATGCCCTTTACCAACTTATGGAAGTATTGCTCCTTTCTTTGTAGCTTGGGGTGGGGGGGAGCGGAGAGGGGGGCCGGGGGAGGGGAGGCTCTACTCACCACCCACGACTGTTCCTGCCTTCACTTGCAGTTCGACCCTTTGGGCTCCAGTCCGCCTGTCTTGGATCAGTGAGGAACAGAGCTGCTCACTGCCTGAGAAGGGGGGCGCCCCCAGCAGGTTTGCAGATCCCCAGCTTGCCTTCTCTAAGCTGGGTACGAGGCTGGGGCTGGCGGCTGGTGGGGGGCAGAGGGACCCAGCCACGGCCAGCCTGAAGGACGGAAACGGAGTCGGGGGCGGGGGGGGGTTGCCCCGGGGCTCCCAATTTCCAAGCCGGGGAGGGGGCTAACGCCGGGGCTGCAGAAGCGATTGCAGCAGGAAGGAGTCCACGTGCTGCCCTGCGTGTGCTGGGGGTGGGGGTGGGGGCTGCAGGCAGGTCTGCAGAGGTCCGCTCGGGCCGCAGCCGCTGCCCTGGCTTGGCCTGGCCTCCCCTCAACTCCGCCGCCACCGCCGCCGCCATTGAGAGGGGCCCGCAGTCCAGCTGCGGTAGCCAGCCCTAGTCGGAACCCGATGGGGCTGGAGGAGGAGGGGTGGAGGGGCAGTGCGGAGTGGCCCAGCCCAGCGAAGGGGCAGCCGGCTCCCCAGCCAGCCCTTTGCTGAGGTGGGGAGCACCAAAGGAAATGGAGTGGGGAGTGGGGGGCAGGGCTCTGGGGGTAGTCTAAGCACCAGGACCTGGAGGTGCAGAACACAAGGGACTTTCCCAAGTTCCCCCAGCTAGAAAAGGAGAGAACGCTGGTCTTTTAACTTGAAAGCCCACGATCTCTCCCGACAGCTCCAACGCACTCATTGCTGCCCATTATCTGCAGTTTGGACAGGGATGATAGTAAAAAGCAGACCACCAGAAAGAGGAACTAGCTGGCCTGGGTTAAAACGTCACCTACCACACTTCTGGGCAGTGTGACCTTGAACAAGTCTCTTTCCCTTTCTGAGCCTTAAGCCTTAGCCAAGAAGGCAGAGAGGGACTTTTCCCCTACCTCAGTGAAGGGAGTTCCTGTAAATGGGACCATACTGGAAACTGAGCATCCAGTTTTGTCCTCTTTGGGGCTGATGAGAAAGGGCCATCTTTGCTGAGACAAGGACCCTCTGGCTCTCCTCTGAGCTTTGCAGCCACCAGTGGGGCCTGGAGGGACCCGAGGAAGTTTCATGATCACTTTCCAAGGAGCTAGTTGGCTTTCCTGGCTGGTTATGGCTTAGAGGCTGGACCACAGCTGCTCCTGCAGTGGGGCCAGGCTGGGCTCTCAATGGCTCACCTGTTGCCTAGCAATGATGCCATCGTCACTAGAATTTTGCCAACAATGCTCTTGCCAACATCAGAATCACAGAAAAACCAAGCCCCTCCCTCTCTCCCTCCCCTCCTCCCCTTCCCTCCTCCATCCCTCAGTTGAACAGGAGCTGCTCAGACCAGCAGGATCCAGCAGCCGGGCCAGCTGTTTAAGAAGAGACACTCACCAAGGAAAATCATGAATTAAGGGGGTTCCAGCTTCCAGCCTGTTCATCAAACCCTCCGACATATCACGAAGCTAACCTTGACTAGAAGGCACTTAACCAGGTAAGAGGCTGCCCTCGCTGGGGCAACTTTGATGTTCTCAATGGCAGTGGTGAACAGGCCAGGGGAACAGAGCTCACTGTGTATTTCTATGGAACTGGGCTTGTTTATATCAATGTTTATGGATTGATTGATGGATGACATGGAGACAAGGCGGCAAAACAAGCTTGCTCTTTCCTTCTGTGTCTCCCTAATTCTAGGGAGGTCATGGAAAATGCTGAACCTCAGTTTTTAGAGAATTTCAAAATCAAAGGACTTCTGACCTCCCCACCCAACCCCTACCCCCTTCACAGCTTTCCTGTTATTGTCAAGGGATGTCAGCACCCTCCCAGTCCTCCAGACTCCCAACCCTTGACATCTCTCTCCCTCCACCCCCTCCCCCTATATCTAATCACTTCCCCAAATTCTGTCAATCCTGTCCAGATACTATCTCTCCAAGTTTATTGTCTCCTTATCTCTATTGAAAGGTAGCTGGGCTGGGCTAGGAGTCTTGAAGTCCTGAATTCAAATCCAGCCTCATGTACACTACTTCTTAACTGTGTGACCCTGGACAAGTCACTTCCCCACTGTATGCCTCAGTTTCCTCAACTATAAAATGGAGATAGGGGCAGCAAGGTGGCACAGTAGATAGAGCTCCAGCCTTGGAGTCAGGAAGACCTGAGTTCAAATCTGGCCTCAGACACTTGACACTTACTAGCTGTGTGACCCTGGGCAAATCATTTAATAACTTAACTGAGATTGCCTCACCAAAACATAAAATGGAGATAATAATGACCGCCTACCTCTCAGGGTTATTAGGAGGATATGATGATATCACAATTGTAAAGCGCTTACCACTGTGCCTGGCACATAACTGGGGCTATGTAAATGCTAGCTATCATCATTGAAATCACCATCACTCACACAATCCCTTAGCTCAGGCCTTCATTGCATCTCATCTGGACCATTTTGCAGAGGGGGAAACTAGAATCCAGAGAGGTTAAATGACTCACCCAAAATCATAGATAGTCACAGGAGTAAAGTCTGAATTTGAATCCAGGTCCTCTGACTCCAAATTCTGCCATCTTTTCCACTAAAGCACCCTGGGGACCTGGGTTCAAATCTAGACTATTGTCATTTCTTATGTGTGACACCTCTCTGTGCTGCTTCAATTTCCTCCTCTGTAAAACGGAGGGGTTTGTCCCCTTCAGCTCTGACTCTCTGGGCTTCATATAGGAGGGAGAGAGGCAGCGAGGAACCAGGCCCTCAGTCCTCCTGCTCAACAAGTGTACACTGGGGATCTGGACCTGGAAGGATAGGTAGGGTAGGGTTCAGAGAAATGGGGAGGTGTGGAGGGAGGCAGAAATAATCCCCTTTCAGAATCAAGCCTGGCTGAGTGGTGGGACATCCAATGGATGGATGGTGGATAAATCCAATGGAGTTGTTCATCCAGAAGCTAGAGATATGGGTGACTGGGAGATTTGGGAGCAATCCCTATTAGAGGTGGTGGTGGACAAGATCTTGGGGAAGGAGTGTCTGCTCTTAAGAAACCTGGAATTCCAGCTTGACCTTCAAGGGTTAAGCAGGGAGGGAGCTGGACCAGCAAGGAGGCAGAGAATGTGGACTTCCTGTTGTGGTAGCGTTACTTGGCCTGAAGTGAATTCTGAGAACACCAGGCACGCCCATGACCAAACGGATCCCATGCTGCTCTGCTGGGCTGCCTGAGAATGGCCTGTGGGTGGTGCCAGCATGTCCCCACTGCCAGTAGGATCATTTCCCCCATAATTTCAAGTCTCTTTTGCCTTTGCAGTTGAAGAGGTCATTATGGCCGTAGTGCACAATACCCAAGTCAGAGAGGAGTTCGCTACTTTCCCTGAGATCATCGAACTCAATGTGGGGGGCCAGGTGTATATCACTCGTTACCCCACCCTGGTCAGCGTCCAAGGTTCGCTGCTCTGGGAAATGTTCAGTCGGAAGAATCCCCTGTCCTTGTCCCATGACAACAAAGGGCGGTTCTTCGTGGATCGAGACGGCTTCCTCTTTCGTTATGTGTTAGACTACATGAGAGACCACCAGCTGGTGTTGCCGGACCACTTTCCAGAGAGGAGCCGGCTCAAGAGGGAGGCCGAGTACTTCAAACTGCCAGATCTTGTCAAGATCCTGGCCCCTGAGACTGGGAACAATAGCTCCACGGCAGATGACTCCCGGGTAAATGACTCGGAAGAGCAATACCCCAACCATGGCTCGAGTTCATCTGCCTCAGCTAGCGGCCCAGGCGGCTCCCCAGGGACAACTGGGGCCGGGGCTGTGGCCACCCGCAAGGGTGGTTACATCACCCTTGGCTACCGGGGTTCCTATACCCTAGGCCGGGATAGCCAAACGGATGCCAAATTTCGTCGTGTGGCCCGCATCATGGTGTGTGGCAAGATCTCACTGGCCAAAGAAGTATTTGGGGAAACCCTGAATGAGAGTCGGGACCCTGACCGCCCTCCTGAGCGGTATACTTCCCGCTATTACCTCAAATTCAACTACTTAGAACAAGCCTTTGACAAGCTGGCCAACGCTGGCTTCCACATGGTGACATCGAGTTCTACAGGCACCTGTGCCTGTGCTCAGGACCAGGCTGATGACAAGATCTGGACCTCTTACACCGAGTATATTTTCTACCGTGAGTGATCACCCGACAAAAGGCCCAGCCCCCTCTCCCCTGGCTCGGGCCTGCCTGGCTCACTGTCCCTAAAGTCACCATCCTTCCTTCTGACCCTGATCACTAGGAGCTCCCAAGTTCTCCTTGGATCATGGCCTTGGGTGGCAACTTTGAATCGTGGAGGCTCTGTCGTCAGGCTCTGTCAGGCTCTGACGTATACAGCTGTATATATATACATATTGCTATGGCGGGTCAGGGAACCAGCCCAGGGAGCGGGGGAGGAGGTTGGGAGATGAATGCCATAGAGGAAAGGCAGAATCCCAAGGCTGCCAACCCCCACCTCCTCCTCAGCACCTTCTTGTGGGTTTGCTTATACACTTTGCGATTTATATAACCTGATGCCTTGGGCCCTGGGTGGGGTGGTCAAAGGGGTCCAACAGCTTCCACATTCCCTCTCCAGAAATATCTTCATGGTCCCACAAGGTGAGCTAGAAGCCCCTGAGGGCCCTAAGCAGCTGGGCATTTGGTGGTGGTGGGGGGAGGCTGGGGAAGGGGGATTTCTGGCAAAGGTCAGCGAAACAGCTGTAGGGGAGAGGAGAGGAAGGGAGGGGGATGGGCAGTGCAGAGGGTTTACGCCTCAGTGGTCCTCAGAGGCTACAGAGTGCAAAGTGAGTTAAGGGCTCAGGGTAAACAAGGGCAAATGAAGGCCCAGATGGACCTGAATGGGGAGAGGGCAAAGTCTGTCTCCAGTGTCTTGATGTTGGCTGGCCCAAGGCTGCCAGGGCCCCGGCTTACTGAGCACGTGCAATAAAGGAAGACCAATAAAGAGCCCTCCTTTCCTTCTCTGCCTCTTTCTTCACCTCCTCTGCAAGTGGCCTTGCTCAGCAGAACCTGTGAGGAAGCAGCTGCACAGCCTGGAGCCTCAGCGATGATCGCCAGAGGATCTAACTGGACCCTAAGGTGCTACAGAGATGGCATACAGGCATGGCACTGGCTGGTGACCTTATTTATTCTTGCTGTGTCCACTTTAGGAGCGCCCTGAAAGGCTCTTGGGCTGGTGATCAGTATGCTGGGCTTGGGCCTTCCCTTCAGACATTTCTGACCATACTCGACACCCCCATCTGAAGCCTGAGTGGGTCAGCCAGGCCATCAGTCCTCTAGTCCCTTCCCCTTCTCTGGTCCTTTTCTGTTTAAAGGAACATTAGGGCACTTAGTTCAACTTATAGTTGAGGAAACTGAGGCCTAGGGGAGGAAGTGAGTGGCCCCAGGTCATACAGTAGTAAGTGATGGAACCAGGATCTGAGCCTGGGTCCTTGGACCCCGAATCCAGCTCTCTATATGAAATAATGATGAGCCTCTTCCAGCTCAGACATCCCAAGAATCTGTGTTTCAAGCCTGGGGAGGGAGGCACAGTGCATATTGGCCATCTGGGTGAAGGAGTGTATGGTAACCTTGGACCACCCTCTGCCTGGGGTCTGTCCAGTGGCTTCTTCTCCTGCTTTGTGGACAGCATCCAAGTGGTCTGTTTCCATCCACTCTAGCCATCCTGGGTCTCCTGCACCATCCACTCTAGCCATCCCAGGCCTCTTCGTGGTCTCACGGGGAGAGGCTGCCAGGAGCTATGTCGGGGAGGTGGGGGTGTGGGGGGGGACCAGAGGCAGCTGGAGGATGTACTGGCTAGCTAGGGAGTGTCCCATGAATGCCCAGGTAACTGGCTTGAGATCAGCCCAGCTGCTCAGTGAGGACTGTCATCTCTGTCCATTTGACCCAGCATGGGAAGGTTGGTAAATATAAGGGGATAGCATTTCTTGAGACAGCTGTGTCCAGATAGAGGAAAGGCCTGCCCCACTTCAGGCTGCTCTCCTTGTGGCACGACCATGGGACCACGGTCATAATTCCTGGGTCAAGCCTCAGTCTCCTGCTCTTTAAAGTCATTACAGCAATACCTGTGGCTCACCGTGTCATTTAACTGCTGTAAATCTCAGAGTGCGAAAGGACAGTGGGGGTGGGAGAACAGCCTGGGCTGTGGCCTCTCAAGCCAGCCCCCCACACATGCCCCTGCCCCAAGGCCTGGGCTCCCGGCTCCCTGGGGGCTCTGTCCCCAACTTAGCAGTTATAGGACCTGCAGATAAAGCACTTGCTTTCCCCTCTGGGGGTCTCAGTTTCCTCATCTGTGAAATGAAGGTGTTGGCCTCAGTGGCCTCTGAAGTCTAGGATTTCTCCACCCCACCCCCCTCTCCCCTAAACCTGGGCCAGATGAAGGCTCAAGCACCTCTCCTTGACAACTGGCCGTGATCATCTTTGCTCAAATATCCATTAAGAAAATGACAGTAATGCCTGCATCACTAGAGACCATCCTCTCTTTGGATTAGGGACACCCTGGGCATTTATTTGGATTCCAAATTTGAAAGCAATTAAGGTCTAGCACATGTTTAGAAACAATTTCCTGTCTCCATCTCCACCTTCGGCCTCTGTCTGGGGTGGAAATTCAGGCACTTTGGGAGAAGAGCAGAGTGCAGGGAAGTCCTTCAGGGTTCTCAGGAAGAAAACAGGGTTGGTCTGTGGAAAAAGAAGGCTGTGAGCCAGCCAGGCCCAGCTCTCCGGGCAGAGCTGGTCCATTGTGACAGACCCTTTGTGAGGGCCTTTCCTGCCATTGGAAGCCTGACTTCGGGAAGGAGAGCTGAGCTGCCCTAGTGCCATCCCCAGGGAGAGTGCAGATTCTGGTGGCTGTTGTCTACTGACCCCCCAGGACACCCCTCCCCCCTTCCTTCCTCCAGGAGGTCAGGGCCTGGCTTCCAGTCTCTGTCTCCTCCTTAGGGCCTGCCTTCACACAGAGGATGTTAACATTCCTTTGGACCCTCCCAGTTCCTTAACTTGTTTCCCATGACTTACTCCCCCCCCCCACCTTAGCCATACACAAAGGTGGTTGGACCCTTGTCATCCCCCACAAGTGCTGCCCTTTCATGTTCACAATCTTTGAAGGTCCTTCATCCAATCACAGCGTTTTCTAGCTCCCCCTCTATCCTATTAAGCCTCCTCTTCATCTTCTCTGTGACCTCCAATCTCCAACCGCTACGCTCTTTCCCAGCCTATCACCCCTTTACTGGCTACGCTCTCTTCCCTTCCCTAACTTGAGCCCTTGGTGAACCAGAATCATTCTACACCATCCTCTTGGGTCCCTTGCCTCCTTGCCTTATCACTGATCTAGGCTGAGGGTTCTCAGATCTCCCTTTCCTCCTCCAGGCTCTCTGCTGACCTCCAATCTTGCACCTCCATCTGCTTCTCAGGCATCTCTAACTGCAGGTCCACTCAACTCAGTGTCTAAGATGGAACTCATTCTCTCCCCCAAACCCTCCTCCCTGCCCCTTTCTCTATTACTTCTCTATTACAGGGTCACCCCTATCCCCCCAGTGCCTCAGGCTCACAACGTAGGAGATGGCCCGGACTCAACTTCCCTCTCACCCTCCATATCCACACTATTGCCAAGGCCTGTTGATTTGTACCTTTCCAACATCTCTCTTTTGACATGGTCACCTCCCTGGTGTAGTAGCTGCCTGGGGGTGGGGGAAGGGTCTGCCTGCCTCAGATCTCCCCACTCCAGTCCATCCTCTATTCAGCCACCAAAGTAATTTTCCTAAAACACAGATTGACTATGTCACCCTCCCCCACCCCCACTCAATATACTCCGGGGCTTCCTGTTGCCCCCAGGATTCAATACAAGAGAAGCTTCTTCAGCATTTGAAGTTTTTTACCCCCTGGCCCCTGTATTTCGATCAAGAGTTGTCAAGGCTAGAACCCTCACCACTGTCATGTGGAGTGCCCAGATTAGGTCTTCCTTGGCTCCTTCTCTGTGTGCAACACTCCAGCCCCTACATAGCCTCAAAGAGAAGGACCCAGTCTCTTTGAAGTCACTCTGCTAATGTCATCCATTGTCCTGTGTGAGCTCCATGCAAGCCTGGGTCTGAACGGAGCCCCCAGTGGAGAGAAGTCATACTCTGCTCATACTGTCCCTAGAAGTTAGGGTGTTATGACTTGGTGGATGAAATAGGGTTAAAAAAAACCCAAAGGAGACAAATGGAAGTGTCTAACAGGCTGCGAGCAGCTACCGAGGGGGGGGAGCTGGGGGACTCTACCTCCCCTTTCCCACTTCCACTGCCCCCCCCCCCAATTCTATCTAAAACTATCCAGGGAAACATGCTCTGGGTCAGGGGAGGCAAATCCAAACGCTGTCAGACAGATGTGGACAGATGTATGCTACTGGGAATAAAAAGATGATTTCCTTTGGGGAGAAAAGCAATGAAGGAACTGGTAAAGGGGGAGGGGCGGGCAGCTATTGTGTATTACAAAGTGAGGAACCCCAGGATCCCAGTAGCTGCATCAACATGATGCAGGGCACTCTGGCAAAGACCAAAGTGAGGATAAACCCATGGGGTACACTGTGGTATAGACCACCTAAATGCAGGGAGACAGAGAGTTTAGGAAGCAGAGGTGTGACAGGGGAGGAGAGGAAGGATAGCTTCAGTTATCCATGAATGCACTAGTGTGTTCTCTGTCTCTCTGTTTCTTTGTATCTTCGTGTTTCTGTCTCTCTCTTTTTCTGTCTTTCCACATATAACTGTTTCTATCTCTGTGACTATTTCTACCTCTTTCTGTGTATCTGTCTCTTTGTCTCTGCCTGTCATTCTCTATGTCTGTGTGTCTGTCTCTGCTAGGAAATCTGCGTCTGGTGGATAGGATGAAAGTCCTGGATGCCAGGGAGAAGGTTGAGTTGCTCCATTGGTATTTTGTGTTTGTTTTCTTTGCCAAGAAGAATGATTTTGGTACTGGAAATGGAACAGAAGTGGCTGACAGGCAGCTCATCCCCAAGATAAATAATGAGAGCACCCAGCTGCCCTTGCTGAATTCGTCTCACCTGGCTCAGAGGAACGATGACCATGCTTTTGCAGGTGAAGAAAGAAGGGATGGGTGGATGGGACTGCACATATGTCAGGCACATTGCAAAGATCCTGGGAAGCGCAGGTGAGAGGGCACAGGACTGGAGAGAGCACATATTGTCCTGATTTTCCAAAGGCAGAAGAGAAGGCTGTGGCAGCCCCAAAACTAATTGGGTATCAGTGGGGTAGACAGAGCTTCCAGCACTGAGAGAGTGACAGTGTGGCGTCCTCTGCCCAGGGCAGACCCTGTGTGCGTCACGGGCACCACAGTTCAGGAAAGACATTGATGAGCTCGAGGACTGTCCAGGAGAGGGAAAGACCATCAAGTCTACGTTCTATGAAGGGCAGGCACTCAAGCATCTCATAAGCAGTGAGCAATGGGCCAAGTTCTGTGCTCAACACTGGGGTACAAAGACCCCCTTCCCAACCCACCAAACCCAAAAGAGCTGAAGGAGCTTGGAATGTTTAGCCTGTCAGGGAGCACAAGATAGCAAAGTATTTCAGGGGTTTTCAGGGTCTCTGTCAGTCTCCATAGTATTGTGTTAGATGTATTCTCAGTACCTGGGAATCTGGGGACTCCTGTTCTTCCTGTGCTACCCTTCAAGAAACCCCAGAAAAGAACAGACATAACTGTGTTTCCTGAGTCACACTTTGCCCCAGCAGCTCTCCAGGGTCTTGGGGTCTGGCCAAACAGTGGCCATGAAGAAGGGGAAGGAGAAAGGGAGGTGCCCCTTGACTACCCCATACTCTTCCATTAGTAGGAGTGTCCTTGGGCTGAAGTGGCAGCATCCTCCATGGCCCATCATTCTTGGGAGCCCCCAAGCAACAACTTGGATCTACTCCTACCACCCCACTTCCCAATTTCACTGGACAGCAGCGAAGGGAGACAGCAATACATACTCCAGGCAGGGCGACACTGTTCTACCTGGTGATTAGAGTCAATGACACACTTCCCTCTACTGTGGGCTAAGAAGGTTTCTGTGGAGTTTGGCAAGGAGGCGGGTCTTGAGGGCACTCGATGCCTGTCCACAGCAGGTGCAGACTGCTTCGTTGTTTTTTTAATAAGAAAACATTTGACCAAAGGTCAGAAAATCGAGGGACAGCTGGTTGCCCCGTGACACATGCAGGGTAGATAAGACGTGCATGTGTGAGGCTTAGACAAGAGTTTCCTGTTTACGTTCTCAGTCTCCATGTCAGTCATCAGTGACGCACAGAACGGCTGCCAGGCAACAGGAGCTCCCACCTCTAAAGTGCTGCCCTTCTCACCCCAGAGCACCTCCAGCCACTCTGCGCTTTGTAGATCAGAGAGACAGAGAGAGAGACAGACAGAGACAGAGAGATAGAGACAGAGATAGAGAGAGGGAGAGAGAGGAGAGGGAGAGAGACAGAGAGACACAGACACAGAGACAGACAGAGACACCAAAACAGAGAATACAGAGAAATAGAAACAGAGACAGAGAGACACACAAAGATAGAGAGATAAATGGACACACAGACACACACATACACACAGAAAAAGAGAGAAACAGACAGACCAACACACAGAGACAGAGCAACGGTCAGGGAGACAGAATAGTCCAGTAGATTCCTGGATAATTGTGACTTTCTTTTCTGCTCCTGGAATTCTGCCTAATGACTTCCCACTCTGGGAAACAGCCCCTCTAGCTGCTGGTTTCAGGGAGGCCATCCCATCCTGTATTTGGGTTTGGATTGCTGCACAATGGTCCTCAAATAGAAGATTTAAAGCAAAAGCTCAGCATTGCCCCTCTGAAAACAGGAACTTCTTCCTAAATAAGGGTCCTGACACAGCCGTGCCCCAGCCGGGCAGAGTTTCAATGTTTTGGAGAGAATCCAGATGTCTTCCTTTGGCTTTCTGAAGGCTTAGAGGAAAAGCAAGAAAATTGCTTTAATAAGAAGACCCAAGAAAATTGAGGCAGCCCAAGGTCTCCCCCATTAGATGTATGACAGTGAGAGTAGAAAGAGTTCATTGATTTTCCAGAATAGTCAAATCAATTCACAGTTCTACCAAGAGTGTATTAGTGTCCATACCCTTTGATTTAGACATCCCACCATTGGGCATATAATCCCATTTACAAGGAAATAGTTGTAACTCTTGGCTTGGTGGTAGCAAAGTACGACAGAAATATTGCAGAAACCTGCTGATTGGGGAATGGTTACATAAGAAGGATTCAGCAAAGCTCGAGGAGGCTTCTATTGACTGATGCAGAGAGAGGGAGCAGAACCAGCCAGGAAAACAACTGATACCATGACTAGAACAATACCCATGGAAAGAACAACAAAGAAAACCGACTGAATGCTAGCATGTAATTATAATCGACTGGCTCTCCTCTCAGAAAAGAGAAGAAAATGTACCTCAGTTCTTTACAGCACTGAAAATCAGTGGGCATGGAGCACTGCATACACTGTTAATGCCTTGGCTAGTTTTGCTGAACTCCTTCCTCCCTCCCTCCCTCCCTCCCTTCCTCCCTCCCTCCCTTCCTCCCTCCCTCCCTTCCTCCCTCCCTCCCTCCCTCCCTTCCTTCCTTCCTTCCTTCCTTCCTTCCTTCCTTCCTTCCTTCCTTCCTTCCTTCCTTCCTTCCTTCCTTCCTTCCTTCTTTCCTTCCTTCCTTCCTTCCTTCCTTCCTTCCTTCCTTCCTTCCTTCCTTCCTTCCTTCCTTCCTTCCTTCTTACCTTCCTAATCTGTTCCAAGGGATGGCTCTCTGGGAAATGAAAGTAATGGAAAAAGAAAAGAGATCCAGAAAATGGTGTAATCATGGAGCTGTCTTCACTCAGCCCCTTCCACACCATGTCTTCATTCTGTTTTTTTTCCCAAATGTTTGAAGCGCTAGTTGGGAAACAGCGCTACACAAAGTGGGAGGGGGGGAGTGAGGAGGGATAGCATTCCTGGCATGGAGAACAGCCAGTTCAAAGGTCTGGAGGTGGAAGATGGAGTGTATGAGGATCAGCAGGAAGGCCAGTTGGACTGGATTGTAGAGTGTCTGGAGTGAGGCAGAATTAAGTTAGAATGGGAAGTTGGGGCCAGGTTGTAAAGGACTTTGAATGCGAAACAGAGGAATTTCTACTTGAACCTAAGGAGTAATTGGAACTTATTGAGGAAAATTACTTTGGCAGACATAGAGCAAAGGGGTCATAGGAGGGGATAGGGACTGATCTCCCAAACTGCAGCATGAGAAGGGGGCTTTCAGGGATATTTCAAGAGTTTTCTCTAAGCAGATTTTCCTGATTTTATCCTGCATTTCAACTAGGTCAGTCGTTGGGTTTTTTTTTTTAAACTGTTGCAACATGATAATAGAATCTAAGGTAATAGAAGGAATCTGCAACATCTTCAGTGATGGCATGGAGGTAGCCCATATCCCAAAGAACCATCTCCAGAGGCACGGAGGGGCTGTGATCTACCTTGGTGGATGGGTTGCTCACACTGACAAGACCATGAAGCTTTTGAAGAACTGAAGGAAGCTGGACAGGCTGGCTTGCCCTGGCTTCTAGATGAAATTTTTCTCTCTCTTTCTCTGTCTCTATCTCTGTCTCTTTCTATTTCTGAGTCCCTCTGTTTCTGTCTCTCTGTCTCTTTCCATCTGTCTCTGTCTGTCTCTATCTCTATGTGTCTCTCTGTCTCTTTCCATCTGTCTCTCTGTCTCTCTCTCTCCGTTTCTCTCTCTTTCTCCATCTGTCTCTCTGTCTCTTTCTCTTCTGCCTCCTGGCTCAGCTCCAGTCCTCCCCATCCCATGCAGCGGCTACTGTGCACTTTCTCTCACACGCTTACAACTCACAACTTCTAATTCCATTCACTTGGATCCAGAGACCTCACCACTCCGCCGACTGGAATCACCTCGGAAGGCTGATGAATCCCACTTGAATCCCAGGTGCCCCCTCATTCACTCCAAAAGCCCAGGAGTCTGTCTCCTATCATTCACTATAGGGAATTTGCCCTTTTAGGATTGAAAATTTAGGAACAAGGAAGCAAAAGCCTTTGGACAGCTGTGTGCTTTGTTCTCTGCTCTTAGGGAACCCTTCAGTGGATGGAAAGCAAGGTGTCAGCTCCTCCCCACGCTCTTCACCTGACGGCAAGCAGAAGAAAATCGCAAGTAAGCCTATTCCCTGCGGACTGGTGGGTAATGCTTGGGCAGGGCCCATCAGGATGACTGCTCTGTGCCTCTGACCAACCTCTGTATTTTTTCCATTAGTCACACATGTACACGCCCATGGGGCCAGGCTCCATGCCGTCAAGAGCAAGCTGAAGAGCCAGAGACACCAGTTGGGCCTAAGGCTTCTGGTTTGTGCCATCTCACTCCTGCCCATGGTTTGCCTTGTAGGAGCCTGAGGACTGAGCCAGAGAGATAAATGGGGTTAGCTAATAATATAGGTGTCTATGTGTATGTGTGTGGGGGGGAGTATTGGATCCATTGGAAATGGCTAGCTTCAAGGAGTAGGCATTAGTAATTTGCTGACAGTCTGGAATGACATCTCTGGTGGGGTACCCTTGGGGTGCTTGACCCTGTGCTGTCTAATGGATGAAGGCAGAGAGAGTGGGCTTGGCAAAAATACCCCAAGCTGGGAAGGAGAGCTAGGGCACTGTGCAGGCTCAGCTTCCAAAGAGATCTTGACAGGCTAAATCGAATGGGATGAAATTCATTTGGGATACGTATAAAGAAAGTCTTCTGTTTAGATTCCGAACATCAGCTTCATAAGGATTAGATGAGGGAGGTAAGGTTAGACAGCAGTAGGCCATTTTAGGACAGACGTTGAAAGAGGGTGACCAGGATGGTGGAGGCCTTCGAGATCATGACTTATGAGGGTTGACTGAAGGAACTGATAATATTTATTGTAAAGGAGAGATTGAGGGAGATGATCTTTTTATGTAAGGATTTCAAGACCGTTATGTGGAAGGGGGGCTTGATTTATTGTGGATAGAGTGGGGTTTGGCCCCAGGGAACCCAATGAGAAGCATTTAGGGTGGAAATTATGGAGAGGCAGATGACAAAAAGAAAAAAAAAGTCTGAACAACTTGATCTGTCCCTAAGTGAACTGGGCTGCCTAAAAACGTGCTGGGTTCCCAATCACCAGACATCTGAAAGCAGAGGCAGTATGAGCTCTCGTCAGCAAAGATGAGGATTCCCATCCAGATGTTATGTGTTGGAATGGATGCCAACTGAGGTCTCTCTCAGTTCTGTGGCCATATGGATCTAACATCAGAGATCTGTAGGGCTAAAAGGAATCTTAACCATCTAGTCCAACCCCTTCATTGTACAGATGAAGAAACTGAGGCCAGGAAAAGTCAAATGACTTGTCCAAAGTAACTCCTCACATGTGCCTTCCTCCCAGCTTCTAATGATTTGATTTCTTTCCCTGCTCTATAGGACAGAATAGTCAGGGGGTGGCCAGATTCCATAACATCTGGGAGCTGAAGCTGCACCAAGAAGACAACCTGGGCTTGGAAGTTGTGTCTGGGGCCCCCAGATTTCCAGCCTTGTGCCTAGAGCAGTATTGGGAAGCGGCTGGTGTGGCTCATGTCGAGGCAGTCAAGGACCAAAGTTCTCAAGATTCTAGGGGAACTGAGCCAGAGTTGTCCTTCCCTTTTGTCTGGCCTGATGAGGTCCCATGCCCCTCAAGGCCAGAATCCCGTAGTCACTACCAACCCTTCAAGCATTTGGGGAAGGCAAAGCAATTAGGTCCCAGATGGAACAATGAAGAGTCCTGTATTCCAGGAACAGGGATAGATAATGAATTTGACAGAGAGCAGGCCAGTGAGGAGCGGAGACTCATGGAGATGGAAATGGGCAAATGCATTGAGGACTTTCGCAAAATCAAGATCCCTTGCACTTTCCCTAACAAAAAAAGACGATGGCAGAGTGAGCTTCTCCAAAAATACCATGTCTGAGGACAGAGCGAAATCTGCTACCACCAATCCTGCGCCAATCCAATCTTCTGCCGTGCCAAAGTCCCTTGGAATCATCTGCCTCTCCTTTCAGCGTCTTCATGGTGGGAGTGGGCTGGGGGGGGTGGGAGTGGGGTCAAGATCTTTTCTGAATGTACAAGCTGATTTCTACATTACCCATAGACAGTTTCTGACCTCTGAAACATTGTGGTCATGTTGAAATAAACTCCCCCCCCCAAATATGGTGTCATCACTTATTTCCTTTATATGATGATGTGAATTCTAGAAGGCTGGAGACTGAAGGGATTTTAGACACAATTTAGTCCAACTTGCTCTTTTTATGTAGGAGGAAACAGAGGCCTGAAGAAGGATTATGGATCTTGAATATCATCTGATTCAACCCCCTGATTTTACATGTGCCCCAAGGCCCTGGATCCCCTGGTTCTGGGCTCACATGGCCCAGGGCCAGTCTTGGGGATGGCCTCAAACGTGTTTGGCTTGAGTTTATTCTGGGAAATCTCCAAATGCAGCTCATGGCCAGGTAGCCACAAGTATGGGCAACAGAGTCCCCCAGGTCCACTTCAAAGCACCCATTGCAACAATGCAGCTGTTGCATATAAGCAGACTTTATTTGGCCTCAGAAGGAATACGAAGGAACCCAGAAACACATAAAGGACTCCAAGTTGTGAGCAGTCCATACAATTGTGTTTGGACTCCATTCAGAAGGAAAATGAACTCGCTGTCATCAGTGGGCTAAGACCCAATGTTGCAATGAGGCTCTCTTTCCCAAAAGATCCTAAAGTCACCCATGAATTCATAATGCCACCCTGTGGTTTGTTATACTGCTGGAAAAGAATTATGCTTTGAGGCCCACCCATCCTCCTCCTATTCCAGTGAGTCACCCTTTCATCCCAGAATGGAAATAGACGAGTCTCTCTCTCTCCCTCTCTCCTTCCCCCCCCCTCTCTCATCTATCTCTATCTGTCTATGTGCCTGTTTACTCTCTATATACTGTCTATATCTCACTTCTATCTTTCTATATGTATTCAACCTCTGCCTATCTCCACATCTCTATTAAGCAAGTAATACAAGTGTTTGCTAGTAAATGTTTAACAACCAGCCTTACTGGAAAAAAAATACACACGCACACATACTTCTAAGCTAATCTGCATTATTAAGCCTTAGGTCGCCTATTTCTGATGTGAACATTTCACTTTTGCCAGTTAGAGCTGGCTCCAACACACCCTTGACTGGAAGCAATAGGTACTGGTTCTATGGTTTCTTTGGTCCAGTGAACCCCCAGGTGAGGCCACTCCCTCTTTCAATGCAGCTTAACACCTTCTCTATTAGCTCCAGTGTGTGGCAGGAAGAGATAGTGCTGGAACCCTAGGTATTCCTGGCTCTGAGGCAGGCTCTCTAACCATTATGTCTCACTGCCTTTCAGGAACTCAACAGGAACAATTGAGAAAACTGGAAGGCAGTTTAGATGAAATTAGACGATATACCACAATAAACTCAAAATGGGTACATGATCTGACAATAAAATGGTTACATTATTTAAAAATATTGGAAAAGAATGAGGTCAGATCATGAGGTTTCACAACCTTCTTGGCTAGGGAGAAAATTCTTTTTCTTTTTTTAAATTAAATTATTTTTTATTTTCAACATTCACTTCCACAAGATTTTGAGTTCCAATTTTTCTCCCTATCTTGTCCCTCTCCCAACTTCAACCCCTTCCCCTAATCTGCCCTCCCTTCTATCACCCCCGCCTTCTCTTATCCCCTCCCCCTTCCATTTTCCTATAGGGCAGGATAGATTTCTATACCCCATTGCCTATGTATTTTATTTCCCAGTTGCACGTGAAAACAATTTTTTTAACATTTGTTTTTAAAACTTTGGGTTCCAAATTTTCTCCCTTCCTCCCTCCCCACTCTCATTGAGAAGGCAAACTAGGGGGAAAATTCTTAACCAAACATGAGCTAGAGAAAATGGTAAAACACAAGATGGACAATGTTGAGTACTGAAATAAAGCTTTTACCTGAAAAAAAAAAAACACCAAACCATGAAAAAAGCAAAAAGCAGAGAAACTGTTGAGTGGGAAGAAATGGTCTCAAATATCAGTGATATGAATCTGCTTTCCAGGATATATAAGCAAATGACCCGAGTCTATAATACCAAGAGCATCCTTAACAGATGAATGGTCAGAAGGTAGAAATGCGTACATTTTGGCAGTAAGAATGGCCATATGCAAATATCCTTTGAATCCCTCATAGCGAGAGAAAGCAAATTAAAACTACTCAGATTTCAGCCCATCCCAGGCCTGGCCCATGTTGGAGGGGCTGAGGGCAGACAATGCTGGGCAGCCTGCAAGTGGGCCACCTGTTCCTGATATCATGCGACTAAATTGTCCACACTCTTTGACCCAATGATCCCACTAATGTCAAAGACAGAGATGTAGCTGCAAAGAACTGAAAGCAAAGTGGCCGCCACCCACTAATTAGGGACCCGCTAAACAGATTGAGGTATAGGAATGTATTAGAAAATTGTTGGGCAGGTGAGAGATTCGGAGAAACGTTAGCAGAGCCCTGTGAGGGCTGACGATAACAATATTTGTAGGGTGCCCACTGCGTGCCAAGCAGTGTGCTAAGCACTTCACAACTATGATCTCGTTTGATCCTCACAACCACCCTGGGAGGTTAGTGCTGTTATGATCTCCATGTTACAGCTGAAGAAGATGAGGCAAATGTGGGTTAAGTGACTTGCCCAGGGCCACACAGCTAGTAAGATGGCTGAACTCAAGTCTTGCTGACTCCAGTGCCCTCTGTCTGAGGAAGGAAATGGGGCTCCTTGAAGTCCAAGGCAGAGGGGGGAGTCTGGGATGAGGTCCTCTCCCTCCTCATCCTCCTGTAGTAATGGGATATTTCCCATCCCATCCCCCACCCTTTCCTTGCTCTGTCATGCCATGCCTTGCCATAGTGTAGCTCAAGGAACAGACTGTGTGCACTTGATGGGCAGACCAAGCCATACACGGTATTGAAATGAAGAAAAACAATAAACAGCAACCCCAACCCTGGAAACAGCAATGATGAAATAAATGGCTTGAATAAACTGGTACATTCATGTGAAGGAAGGCCCAGAGTGGAAAAAGCAGGACTGGACTGAGAAGAGAAGAAATGGACGAGGAAGCCAGATGGAAACTTCCAGGGGGTGACTGCAAAACTGCCGTGACACCCTGTGCACTAACATGGATTTACATAGACTTGCAAACATTTCTAGTTACTTGTCTTGATGATTAATATTGAAATTGTGTTATAAATTCCTTTCTTTTAAAAGGAGCTGAAGGATGGAAGTGTCCCAGTCCAGCTACCATCAACAGAGCCCACGAATACACAGGGCAGTACTCGTCCCAGAATCAAGGAGTTCCAGGGATACAGTCCAAGGCATAGAGAGAGAAGACATTTGTCTTTAGCATCCCAAGCAGTGGTGGGCTGGGCTGATTCCGGATTCCCAGGGACAGAAATACCACCAGACTCATCTCTAATCTAACTGTGGGGCTTATTAATAGCATAAAATCCCTGTGGGAACAAAGGATACAAGGAGACCTGTGCCACATTTGGGTTCTGTTCTGGGAATCCAGAAAATTGGCTCTCTCCAGAACTCTAGACCAATCAGAGTCTCTCTTCTCTTGGAGACAGGCAACGGGAAGGATGGAACACTCAGCCATGGCCATCCTCCTGCTTTTCACAAAAGGGGAAACTGCGGCCTCTGGAGAGGAGGAGACCAGACCCCAGATCAAATGTTGACCAATGGCACACATAGGTCCAAGCTGTCTACCACACCTACATATGTGTTCTGTACTTACTCATATGCACACATAGTCCCTCCTCTCCATAAGAAGGGTAGGGACTGTGGCCCTTGTATCTCTCAGTGCCTAGTACAGTGCCTGGCACATAGTAGGTGTTTAATAGATATTTGACTAGGTGTTCAATTGCTTGGTTGATTGGATTAGAAAACCAGTGTGTTCAGAGAATTACCCTGGGAAAATATTTGTGTGCCTTTTTTTTTTTCCTCTATGAGCAGCAGTAGCCTTAGCAGGAGAGCCAGGGAGAGTGAAGTCCTCACTGCAATGAAGACCCAGGGGTGGGTTCAGGCTGGGCACAAGCCAGGGGTGAAAGGGCAGAGAAAGCTTCTTTGGATAACCCAAGCAAGATCCCTGCATTTTCAGGAGATGGAGGATGATGGGAGGTAGACGCCAGTCACCAGAAAACATAGCCTGTGTCATTTGGGGTCTGCAAGAATTTACTTGTCGCACAAATGCTTTCAGAAATGGAAAGACGACAGGAGGACTAAGTCCCCCAGTGAGGAGTGCTCCCGAATCTTGGGGAGTATCGGAGACATTTGCCAGTAACCACACCAGATTGTGTTGGTCACAAGCCCTCTCTGAGCTGCACTTACCCCATAATCAGTAGCTAAACTGGGCCCTTACAGAGCTTCATTTTCCCAGTTAACATGCTCACCCACAGTCAAACCCAAGCCTGAAGAGCTTCCTACTGGGAGGCCAGCCTGGATGCCAGCCTTCTCTTTCTGCCTTCCCCTTCCCAGCAGAGAGGCTGACATTATGACAGGCAAGAAAACACCGCAGAGGAGAATTTATAGAAAGAGAGAGAGACCTTTCAAAATCAGTTGGTGTTTTAGGTTGGGAACCTCCTCCCCTCTCTGTGTCCCACACCCAAATGCAAGCTTTACTTCATTTCTTCACATCATGAATGAATCAACAACCGACAAACATACATTAAATGATGCCAAGTCCCAAAGATGGTCAAAGAAAGAATCTTCTTAATCAAATTTACCAACCATTTATTAAATACCTACTGTATGTAAGGCACCAAATATATCCAGTGGGGGACAATTGAGGGAGCAGATCACAAACGTAATCGGGGCATTGCTTGCTTTTGCCGAACTGCTAGGCTTGTTTTTTAGTTTTTCGAATTCATTTTTTAACATTCTTTTCTTTTTAAATTTTGAGTTCCGGATTCCCCCCCCTTATGTCTCCCCCACCCACCAAGAAGAAGGCAGACAGTATAATATCAGTTATACATGTGAAATCATGCAAAACATTTCCGTATTAGCCCTATCACAAAAAAGCAAAAAAAGCAAGAAAAATTCTACTTCAGTCTGCACTCAGAGTCCATCAGTTCTCTCTCTGGAGGTGGAAAGCACTTTCTCATCATATTCCTTTGGAACTATTTTGGATCATTGTGTTGATCAGAGTAGCCAAGTCTTTCACAGGTGGTCACCATTGCAGCATTGCTGTTACCGTGCACAGTAATCTCCTGGTTCTTCTCACTTCACTTTGCATCAGTTCATATAGGCCTTACCATGTTTTGTTTTGTTTTTTTCTGAAACAACTTCCCTCTTTATTCCTTATCACACACGATAGTATTCCATTACATTCACATACCACAACTTGTTCAGCCATTCCCCGATGGATGAGCAATCCCTCAATTTCCACTTCTTTGCCACCACAAAAAGAGCTGCTAGGAATATTTTTGTACATGCGGGTCCTTTCCCATTATTTTGATCTCTTTGAAATACAGACCTAAAAGTGGTATTGCTGGGATAAAGGATAGGCACCATTTTATAGGCCTTTGGGCATGGTTCCAAATTGTTCTCCAGAACGGTTGGACCAGTTCACTACTCCACCAACAGTAATGTACCTATTTTCCCTCATCTCCTCCAGCGTTTATCATGTCTGATAGGTGGTGCCTCAGGGTTGCTGTAATTTGCATTTCTTTAATCAATAGTGTTTTAAAGCATTTTTTAAAGATGACTATAGATAGCTTTGATTTCTTCTTCTAAAAACTGCTTGCTGATATCTTTTGACCATTTACCAATTGGAGAATGACTCTTTTTTTTTTCCATAAATTTGACTCAGTTCCAAATATATCTGAGAAATGAGGCCTTTATCAGAGAAACTTGTAAACATGTTTGATGTTACTTCATCGTTTATGACACCTTTTAGTAATTTTGTTGGGTAGGTTATTCTTGGTTGTGATCCTAGCTCTTTTGCCTTCTGCTCCTCTCCAACATGGAAGCTGCTAGATCTTGTGTTATCTGACTGTGGCTCCATGATATTTGAATGATTTCTTTCGGGCTGCTTCGCAGTATTTTCTCCTTGACCTGGCAGCTTTGGAATTTGGCTATACTATTCTGAAGAGTTTTCATTTTGAGATCTCTTTCAGGACACGATCAGTAGATTCTTTGAATTTCTGTTTTACACTTTGGATTTAAGATAGTGGGGTAGTTTTCCTTTATAATTTCTTGAAAGATGATGTCTAGGTTCTTTTTTGGCTTTCAGGTAGTCTGATAATTCTTAAATTCTCTCTCCTTGATCTGTTTTCTAGGTCAGTTGTTTTTCCAATGAGAGATTTCACATTTTCTTCTACCTTTTCATTTTTTGGTTGCTTCCTGACTTCTCATGGAGTCATTAGCTTCCACTTGCCCAATTCTAATTTTTAAAGAAGCATTTTCTTTAGTGAGCTTTTGTACTTCTTTTCCCACTTGGCCAATTCTGCTTTTTAAGGAATTCTTTAAAAAATTTTTTTTGGTTATATTTTGACTTCTGAGTTGTCTCCTTCCCCCTCCTCCCAACCCCGCATTAGAGAATGACAACATTTGACATTGATGCCATACAATACATACTTCCATATATCAGATCTTCCTCTGGAGGTGGATAGCATCTTCCTTCATAAGTCCTTCATAGTTTATATGAGTGATCATATTACTCAGAAGAGCTTAGTGAAGTCATTTGCAGTTACTCTTTGAACAATATTGTTGTTAGTGTATACAGTGTTCTCTTGGTTCTGCTCATTTCACTTTGCATTATTTCATGCAAGGCTTTCCATGTTTTTTCTAAAACGAACCTTCTCATCATTTCTTACAGAACAATAGTATTCCATTACCATCATATATCAGAACTTATTCAGCCATTTTCCAGTTAATGGGCATCTCCTCAATTTTCAATTCTTTATCACCACAAAGAGAGCTGCTATAAATATTTTAGAACACCTTGGGAAACAGGCCTAATAAGTGGTATTGCTAAGGGTGTACACAGTTTTATAACTCTTTGGATATAATTGCAGATTGTTCTCGAGAGTGGTTGGATCAGTTCACAGTTCCACCAACACAGTATTAGTGTCCCAGTTTTTCCACATCACCTCCAGCATTTGTCATTTTCCCCTTCACATCTTTTCCATTGATTCCCTTGATGTTCTTGACCTTTTGTTCTTCTAGATGAATTTTGTTATTTTTTTTTCTAGCTCTACAAAATAGTTTTTGGTAGTTTGGTATGGCACTGAATAAATTAACTTAGGTAGAATTGTCATTTTTCTTATATAGGCTTGGCCTACCCATGAGTGATTAATATTTTCCCAATTGTTTAGATATGATTTTATTTGTGTGAACTGTTTTGTAATTGTGCTTATATAGTTCTTGGGTTTGCATTGCATTGCATTTAGACTCCCAGGTATTTTCTATTGTCTACAATTATTTAAATGGAATTTCTCTTTCTGTCTCTTGCTGCTGAACTTTGTTGGTAATACATAGAAACACTGATGATTTATGAGGGTTACATCTTTGCTAAAGTTTTTAATTATTTCAATTAGTTTTTCCACTAATTCTCTGGGATTCTCTAAGCATACCATCATATCATCTGCAAAGAGTGAGAGTTTTGTTTCCTTATTGCCTAGTCTAATTCCTTCAATTTCTTTTTCTTTTTCTTATTGCTAGTGCAATATTGAATAATAGTGGTGACAATGGGCATCCTTGCTTCACCCTTGATCTTATTGGGAAGGTTTCTAGCTTATCCCTGTTGCAGACAATGCTTGCTGATGGTTTTAGATACTAATCACAGTAATGGATGCTGTATTTTGCCCAAAGCTTTTCCTGCTTCTATTGAGACGTCAGATGATTTTTGTTGTTTTTGTTATTGACATGGTCAATAGCTTTCCTAATATTGAACCAGCCCTGCATTCCTGGCATAAATCCCACCTACTCAAAGGCTATGATCTTTGTGATATTGCTGTAATCTTCTTGCTATTTAAAATTTTTGCATCAACATTTAGTAGGGAAATTGGTCTAGAGTTTTCTTTCTCTGTTTTGGCTCTTCCTAGTTTAGGTATCAGCACCATATTTGTGTCATAAAAGGAATTTGGTAAGACTCTTTCTTCACCTGTTTTCCCAAATAGTTTATATAGTATTAGAATTAACTGTTCTGTAAATGTTTAGTAGAATTCACTTGTGGTCCTGGTGACTTTTCCTGGGGAGATCATTGGTGGCTTATTCAATTTTTTTTTTCTAAGATAGGATTATTTAAGTATGCTGTTAATCTGAGCAATTTATATTTTTGTAAATATTCATCCATTTCACTTAGGTTGTTTGATTTATTGGCATATATTTGGGCAAAATAACTCCTAATAAATGCTTTAATTTCTTCTTCATTGGTGGTGAAATTTACCTTTTTCATTTTCGATACTGGCAATTTGGTTTTCTTCTTTCTTTCTTTTTTTTTTTTAAATCAAATTAACCAGTGGTTTGTTTTCCCCTCCATAAAGCCAGATCCTAGTTGCATTTATTAGTTCAATGGTTTTCTTATTTTCAATTTTATTAATCTCATCTTTGATTTTCAGGATTTCCAATTTGGTGTTTAATTGGTGATTTAAAATTTGTTCTTTTTCTAGTTTTTTTTTTTTGGTTGCATGCCCAATTTATTGATCTGTTCTTTATTTTATTTTATTATTTTTTTTGGCAAGGCAATTGGGGTTAAGTGACTTGCCCAGGGTCACACAGTGCTCTTTATTTTATTGATACAAGCATTCAGAGATATAAATTTTACCTTGAGTACTGCTTTGGCTGAATCTCATAAATTTCTGTATGTTGTCTCATTGTCATTCTTGTTAATGAAATTACTGATTGTTTCTATGATTTGTTGTTTGACCCACTTATTCTTTGGGATTAGTTTATTTAGTTTCCAATTAATTTTTAATCTATGCACATGTATAACCTATATCAGATTGCGTACTGTCTCAGGGAGGGGGTAAGGAAGAGAAGGAGGGAGGGATAGAATTTGGAACTCAAAACTTAACAAAAGCAACAAAAGATGTTAAAAATTGTTTTTACATGTAATTAAGGGAAAATGAAATATCATTTAAAAAACCACTTAATTTTAAATCTATGTTTCCATGGCCCTTTATTGAATATAATTTTTATTACATTATGATCCGAAAAGGGAGTATTTACTATTTTCTGCTTTTCTGCGTTTGGTTGTGAGGGCTTTATGTCCTGCACAAGTACATCAGAGTAGCAAGAACTTTGCCAGACTCCAGAGCCTCAGTTTCTCATCTGTCCAATGAAGGAGTTTGGACCAGATGGGCTGCCTACTTGTGACGTCTTCTGGGGTTTCTGTAAATGGAATTACAGTGCATGTCAGGCTCCAACAGGTTTTCCCTTAAGTCATACGGGGCTAGATGGGGCTTATCAGCCAGGAGCTGCCATTATGATGGATTCATGTAGAATGGCTTATTCTGATCCACAGACTCCTAGCCCTGGACCTCCAGCCTGCCACCACAATGGTCTTTTTAAAAAATTCTAATTCAATTTTATTTTATTTTCAGTCCCAAATTCTCTCCCTTTCTCCCCCTGCCCCTCCCCTATTCATTGAGAAGGCAACACATTTCTGCATTAGCCATGACTTGGCAGGTCGACTCTCAAGTATTTTATACTGTCTGTAGTTATTTGAAATGGAATTTCCCTTTCTCTCTCTTCCTACTGGATTCTGTTGGTAACATACAGAAATGCTGAGAATGTAAAAGGGAAGGGTTAAGAAGAGGAGAGTGGTTGGGGGAAAGATGATAAGCTCAGTTTTGGATACGCTGAGCTTAAGATGTCTAGGAGACATGACTTTACCTCTGTCTGCGTTAGGCCACCGGAGCAGGAACTGGTAAACCACGCCAGTATCTTTGCCAAGAAAACCCCAGTCAAGTTTTTGCAGCAGACAGTCTGGCAGAAATGAGGTTTAGGGCAAGCCCTCAGAACATATACCAAGATAAGCTCCAAATGGCTCCATGACCATTTACCATAAACAAATTTGAGAAGTAAAGACAAAATTACCTTTTATATCTATGGATGGGGAAGAGTTTGATACAGAGAGTCATACGAGATAAAATGGACAATTTCGATATCTAGAAATATTTACACTTTTGCACAAACAAATCTAACATAGTAAAAAGTAGTAAGGAAACAGATAACTGGGAAAAGTTTTTCAACAAGTTTCTCTGACAAAAGTCTCATTTCCTAGATAGCCAAGAAACTGATTCAAATTTGTAAGGCTCAGAGCCATTGCCCAATAGATAAATGCTTCAAAGGATATGAACAGACAGTTTTCAAAGGAAGGTATCCAAGTTATCACTAATTACGTGAAAAAAAAAGCATTAAATTCCAAACAATTAGAGAAATGCAAATTAAATCTAACCTGGTGAAAGGGTTCCTTGTTTTCTTAGCCCCTCCCTGCTCCTGCCCCTGCCTTCTCCCGCCTCTCTGGTCTTGGGATGAGAGAAGGGGAAGCCCCAAAGTGTGAAAGGGCTGGGGAGAAGGACAAAGTAGTGGTTGTTCCAGCATGGGGAGGTGAGAGCTTGGCAAAGCTGTGTAACCCAGTCCTTTGTTGGGTGGACCGCCAGGCTTGGGTCCTGTTGCCTGTGAGCTGGTGGAAGGGGGGGCAGTGCCATCTGGTGGAGACCAATGAACAAAGCGACACACTGTCTAGTCAGTGGGTGGGGTGGAGCTGTGGCTAATTCGATTCCACAAACTTTTAAAGTATGTATCACACCTTATGTGAGGCCAAGAGGATGCAGAGATGACCACTAAAGAGTCCCTGCTTAGGGGCACTTTAAAGGAAGATGAGGATTCCTTGAGGTTGAGGTGAGGAGAAAGGTGATGAGGCACAGTCTGGCCAAATGCAATGGGCGATGGTGGAATGGAGAGTATGGAAGGGGAGAAACGTGAAGCAAGCATGGAAGAGAAGCTAGAACCAGACTGGGGAGAAATTTTGATGTCAAACTAAGGAATTCATATTTTATTATAGAGGCAATGGGGAGCTACTGGGGGAAAAAAATCCTAAGTAGGAGAACAACATGAAAGATCTGGAGAGGGTGGATTGAGGACGAGAGAGTAGAACTACTGGAAAGGTTATTGAAGAGAAGCGATGGGGGCCTGCACCAGGGAAGGACCAGGAAGGAAACAGAGAAGTCCAGAGGAGTGGCGGCATTAAGGGGGAAGATGTTTAAGACAGGCCAAATTCGAGATGTGGGCCCGGAGTTCAAGAGTGAGAGGAGGATTGGGAGTCATCTGTGTGGAGATGAAAATTAAACCCATGGGAGCTGATGAGGCCAACATAATGGAGAAAAAGGAGGAGAGGGGCCAAGCTAGAACCTTAGGAGCCTGGGTATCAAGCTGGAGGCCAAGCGGATGAGAAAACCAAGGCCCAAGGAGGTGAAGTGACTTGCCCAAGGTCACACAGGCAGGAGTGAGGATAAAGACTAGGGTTAGAAAAGTGAGGCAGAGGGAGAGGTGATAATAGGAGATGAGTGAGAAAGAGAGACAGAGAGACAGAGAATAAGACAGAGACAGAGAGAAAGAAAGAGAAACAGAGAGAAAAAGAGATGGAGAGAAAGAGAGATACAGAGAGATACAGAGGTAGAGAGAGAGATGGAGAGAGAGACAGAGACAGAGATAAAGACAGAGAGAGATACAGAGGGAGAAAGAGAAACAGAGACAGAGAGATGGAGAAGAGAGATAGAGACAGAGACAGAGAGATGGAAAGAAAGAGAGAGACAGAGAGACACAGAGAAAAAGAAGAGAAACATATATAGAGAGAGGTGGAGAGAGAAAGACAGAGAGAGAGAGAGAGAGAGAGAGAGAGAGAGAGAGAGAGAGAGAGAGAGAGTGTGAGCATTCCCCAATTGATAAATGGTCAAAGCATATGAACAGGCAGTTCTCAGATGAAGAAATTAAAGCCATCTATAATCATATGAAAAAATGCTCTAAATCATCATTGATTAGAGAAATGCAAATCAAGACAACTCTGAGGTACCACATCACACCTATTAGACTGGCCAACATGACAAAACAGGAAAATGATAAATGTTGGAGAAGATGTGGGAAAATTGGAACACTAATGCGTTGTTGGTGGAGCTGTGAACTGATCCAACCATCTTGGAGAACAATTTGGAACCATGCCCAAAAGGCTATAAAACCGTGCATACCCTTTGATCCAGTAATAGCACTAGTACGTCTGTATCCCAAAGGTGGAAGGTGCCTCTGTGGGCCATGTTCTGGGATCGCTGAGGGACTACCCTGGTGGGAAGGGTGGGGATAGTTGGAGAGAGCAGGGCTACTACTGAGGGGAAACAGGGGAAGAGAGAAGAGAGAGGAGACTGAGGGGTCCTCAGCTCCTCTGCATTTCCCATGGTGACCTGTGCCATTCTCCATGCCACGTGGCTCTCTTGGTGAGGTGTGGGGAGGGATGGCAAGGAAGGGGCAAGAAGTACCTTTCCAGCATCTGGCTGCCTTTGAATTCGGAGGACATCCACTGCTATGTGGCTAATGCCTCTGAGGCTGGGTCCAGAGGGAGGCCGAGCTTTCTCCTTGTTGGCAGCCCTGGGCTCTGCTTTCCTCAGTCCATGCCCAAGTCCAACCTCTCCACCATGGACGGCATGCTCACAACTGCCTGGGGAGGCTCCCCCCAACACATGCACACACCTGGCACAGAGCAACATGCCCAGGGCCTGGCCATAGGACCAAGAAATCGGGGGAGGATGACAGGATGGTTCCAGTGTTGAGTGAGATGAACTCGAAGGTTCCTTCCAACTTGGGGATCCAAGGCCACCTGCGAACCTCTGATTTCCTGGCTGTCTCCGTGCATCTTCTCTCCACCCGCCCCAATGCTCGGCTAAGATTATCACCCAGGAAGAACAGACCTTTTAGAATAAGAACACAGAGTAAACTGACCGCCCAAGAAAGTAGTCTAATGGTGACCTTGGGCTGGGACTGTCTTCAACCAAGAAGGAGTAGACGGCAGCTCAGAGGGGTCTTGACCCTTTGCCATCCATCTGCTACAAGGCTCTTGGTTGAATGGAGCCAGCACCAGGCTCCCAAACATCACACACCGTTTTCTAGGAGTCTCTTTGAGGCTGTCATCATGCAGTTAGGGCAGCAGGGGGAGCTGTGATTTTATATCCCTTCACCACTACAAACGACCACCTCTGTGCAAATGAAGATCCTAGTCAATGGCCACAACAGTGTTCTAGATTTAGAGTTGGAAACGACATTCGAGGCCATCTGGTTCAACCCCCTCATTTTACAGATGAGAAAACTGAGGCCTGGGGAGGGGAAGAGAATTGCCCAAGATCACACCTGGTAGTTAGGGCAGGGCTAGGATTTGCACCCAGACCCTTGGACTCCAAATCCAGTACTCTTTCCATTGGATTATTCCTCCATTAAGTGACTTGCTTAGCATCACATAATCAGCAAGTGCCTTCCTGATTCTGAGGCCAGATCTCTATCTACTCTGCAACAGACACGTCCTGGCTCAGACAATAATTACACTCCACTGTCTCTGCTCTAAACCAGATCCCCAAATGGGGTTGAATTCACCTAAATTATTCACATGCAAATTAAGTCAACAAACATTCATGAAGTGCCTACTACACACCAAGTGCTGTGCTAGGTGCTGGGGACATGAGATAAGAGAGGCAAAGACAGTTCCCGTTTGTACAAGCACAGACAAACCACAAGGCAAAGCAAACTCCAATGACCCGTGAATGTGTGTGGGATGAGAAGGCGGCTTGGAGTCACCCTGGAGAAGATGCAAGATAAGAGAAGGAGGAGGTACAGGACGAAGTGAACCCTAGCAATGAGGGGGATGGGAAAGACTCCCTGTGGGAGGAAGAGGCCGTTGTTACCTCTTAAGAGGAAATGAAGGTTCAGAGAGGGTTAGTTAGCCCAGTGTGGCACAGTTAGTACATGTCAGAGGCTGGACTCAAAGCCAGGTCTTGCTGCCTGGAAGGCCATTCATCCACATGTGCGTGCACGCACATACACACACACACACACACACACACACACACACATTCAATATATTAACATATGGACCTATATAGTATTTTATTAAACCAGCAAAAATCTGCTTTCTCTCTCTTCTACCCCTAACACCTCCACTCCCCAACTGAGAGTGAAAGAAAAACCATTATGAACATGTATAGTCAATCAAAACAAATATCCACATTGGCCATGTCCTAAACAATAGGTCTCATTTTGCACTCTCAGGAGGTGGGGAATATGCTTCACCATTAGTCCTCTGGTCATTACACTGGTCAGAGTTGTTACTCTTTCAAAATTGTTTGCTTTTACAAATGTTGCTGTCACTGTAGAAATTGTCCTCCTGGTTCTGCTCATTTCCCTCTGCATCAGTTCATACAAGTCTTTCCAGTTTTTCCTGAAACCATCTCCTTCCTCATCTCTAACAGCAAAATGGCATTCCATCATATTTATAGAACACAATTTATTCAACCATTCCCCCATCGGTGGCCACCTCCTCAGATCCCCATTCTTTGCTATAAAAGAGCTAGAAATATTTCTGCATACCATTATAATTTGTTGTGCCTAGAACTAATGTCTCCCTTAATCTGCCCTCCCCTCTAATTCTTCCTCCCGCTTCTCCCCTTCTCTCCCTATTTCTCTGTTGAGTGATGTATTATCTCCTCTGGCCAGCTGCTTCCCCCCATTCCCTTGTTTACAGAGATGTCTACTCACGCACCCTCATTATGTGAGATGATTTTCCCTTCCCCTGCCTTCCCATCCTCCAGGGTATGACTCTGCTCTTTCCATTAAGTTCATCAAGACATAAGAGAACCATTCTAGGGCTTGGCTAGTCGGACTCCCTCTATCATCCCTGATGATAGTTTAGATGGGACATATCCCCTTTCCCCACATTTGAAGGTAAGCAGTTATCCTTGCCCTCTATTCATGTTCATTTGCGTTTACCTTTTTTGTTTCTCTTCACTCCTGGCCTTTTTCATCAGGAGTGCTTGGAAATCCTCTATTTCACTGAAGGTCCATTTCCTCCCTCCCCACCCCCACCTGCAGCATTATACTCAGTTTTACTAGGTAAGTTATTCTTGGCCATAAAGTCCATATCCTTTGCCTTCTGGAATATCATATTCCAAGTTCTCTGCCCCTTTAGAGTGGTGGCTGCTAAATCCTGTATGATCCTGACTCTGACATGTCTCCTCAGTACTTAGTTTTTTTCTTTCTGGCTACTTGCAACATTTTTTCTTTGATCTGGAAACTTTGAGGTTTGGCTATGATGTCCCTGGGAGTTTTCCTTTTTTCATGAGGTGGTCATCAGATTCTATTTCCACTTTGCTCCCTGGTTCTAAGAGATTATTTGGGCAGTTTTCTTTTAAGATTTCTTAAAGTATAATGAATGGAATAAATTCATGGAAGTCCGGTACGCCAGTGATTCTTGATTTTTTTCTTCTCAATCTGTTTTCTAGGTCACTTGGTTTTGCTCCGAGATACCTTACATTTTCTTCTATTTTTTTTTCAGTCGCTCGACATGGTTTTAATATTTCTCATTGCCTCATGGAGTCATTGGCCAAATTTTCAGGGTGTTTGTTACTTGGGCAGGCTTCATACCTCTTGCATCAAGCTGTTAATCACCTTTCCAATTATTTCTTCCATAGCTTTCATAGCTTTTCCAATTTTTCCTCTAGCACTCTCATTTCATGGATAAAAAGATTTTTTAACTGTTTAAAAACTTTTGCTTTCTCTTTTCCAGCAATTCTGGTTCAATGTGTGCCTGAGCTGTGTTTTCTTTCTGAGGTTTTACCTGTAGATGTTTTGGGGTCATTCTCTTCCTCTACGCCTATGTCTTCAGCATCCCCACCACAATATCTCATGGTGGGCTTCTTTGTGTGTTTGCCCATCCTTCCAGCCTGCTTCCTGACTGCAGACTTGATGGCAGGGCTGGGCTATGTCACACTTGTGGAGGGAATGTCTGGGCTCTTCTCGCTGCTGCTTTCTCCGTGTATTGAGCGTTGGGTTGTTCCAGGATCTCAGGGACAGCTCAGGCTGGGCACCTGCAAGCTTTCAGTGTCCCCAGAGGGGTCTGATCCAGGGCAAAAGCTGATCATGCCTTCCCCTTCCTCCCCCTGGAATGTCACCCCTATGCACAAATCTGTCCTGGGTCTGTATAGTTGATGACAAAGTGGCTGCTGTGGTGCCCTGGCATGGCTTCTCTCTGTATGCCTGGCTACTCCTGGCCCAACCCTCTCTCCACTATCTGTAAACTTCTCAGGCTGTCCCTCTAGGCTGACCTGAGCTGGAATAATGACTCACTGTGACTTTTGCTTGGATTGCCCCCTCACGACTAGGTCCGTATTTTCTAAGTCTCTTTGGAGGAGTTCTTTGGGGGAGCTCAGGGTTTGAGATTAAAGATGCTGAAGGAAGTACAGCCAATATGTACTGCAGGAAGCAGTGATGGGAGCGCACCAATAATGAGATGTGAGGATCAGAGAAGGAATTACATACATGAAGAGGGTAAACTGAAATCAACATAGAAAGGGAGATGGGAGTTAACCTGTGGAAGGCTTTACATGCCAGGTTAAGGACCTGGGGAGCCATTGACTGTTTCGAACAGTCAGTTCTGTGTCTTAGGAGGATAGTTTGAGAAGGGATCAGCTTGAGGCAGATGAGGGCCTGTCCTAGGCTGGAGGATCTCTAAGCTAGACTCTACAAGACTGGGTGACTGATTGGCTTGGAGCACTAAGGTGCTGAACCAGGGGCCTCTAATCTAACCCATGCCCCAAAGAGAACTTCTACAGCCTAACAACCGCTCCTGCAGTCTCCCTCTTCCTTCATTGGTCCTTTTCTCTCTCCCTTCCCTCTCTCTGTCTCTATCTCTGTCTGTGTCTCTGTCTTTTCCACAAGAAGAATGTGAGATGAACTCCCAAGGGGTACCTTTGGTTAATCGCTGCTGCCTTCTCTAAATGTTCAGGAACCAGGGGTTTTGCCAGGAATAGAAGCAGAGCAGGTGACATAAGCTCTACCAGGTTCTGTTTTACCTGGGCAATGATGAGAGTGACAGGGTGGAATAACTCATATAAAGTGCTTTGTAGAGTTCTGTCTAAATGTGAGCTCTGATCATTAGTAGGTGTTCATGGAAACGGGCTCTTCCAGGCTACCCTCATCCCAGCCAGTTTCAATCCGAATGCATGTTCCATTTTCCTCTCTTAAGGAGGAAAATTCCCATGAAAACCTCAGGTGAGAGACACCCTTTTGCCCTCTTGGAAAAATTAAATTGGGAGTGGGGTGGGGAGGGGCAGGAGTAGAAAGCTCATGGACAGGAATGAGGTGGGAGAAGCCTGTAGGGTCATTGGGAGCTAGATTGGGGGCAGCAGCCAGAGAAGTCTGCCTTTTATCCTGGAGCTGAGAGCAGACCCCAGAGGACTGTCCTGGGCAGACTAACTTGGGGAGATGCTTGGAGAGGAGAGGATGGAAACGGGGAGCAGGGGCCGAGAAGGTCACTGCTGCCATTTCATCAGAGCCGAGATTAGGGAGCTGCCTCCTTAGTGCCTAGCATGCATGCATTCCAGAAATGCCCACTGGCTTGAACTGACCCGATGAGAGCTGGTCCTGAACACTTGACTGGGGATTAGTGAGATTGTGCACGTGGATCCAGGAGACTTTGCAATTGATTGGCTACCGTGGGCAGGGGGTGGGGGTGGGGGTGGGGCCAGCAGGTGAGGAAAGGATCAAGGGCGATTCCCAGGTTGGGAACCTCTAGCAACAGAAATAGGTATATTCAGGGGAGTGGGAGGCCTCGAGAGCAGCAGGGCAGTGCCATTGGCTGGCCTGGACTTTGGGAAGATTTTGAGCACATGGATTAGAGGGGGTCATTGCTTGGGGATACCTTCATTATTGGATGATCCCTGAAGATCCAGAGCTTGAGGAATGCCTCATGGGACAATGAGCACTGTCCACCAGCTTGGGCACCCTGGAGATGCGGGGCACGACCCCATTTAGAGGCTCCTAATGCTCTCTTGGGCTACACAGCTCGATTTGGGCCGCCATGACAAGAGCACAAACGACATGTCGAATGACTCGTGGAAACGTTGTTCTAGGCACATTGGGTCTCTGGCATTTGCCTGATCCGCTGGTCTAGGAACTGCCAAGTCAGGGAAGTCAGGGCTCTTTCAGGCCTCCCACTAAGAAAGGACCAATGAGCCCAGCTGAGGACAGGGAGACATTCAGGGGTTGGTGTGGCAAACCTGCCCCAAACGCTCCTTCTCCGCCCTCCTCGAGATGCTTCTGGAGGGCAGCTAGTGGGTCTTAGCCTTCTTGGCCTCTTCCTCTGGCCCTCAGCACAGCCCATGTCGGTGTGTAGTAGGCGAATGAAACTGGAGACACAATGGGCCACACTGGAGGCAATGGCAGGACCCCCTCTGCAGCTTGGTGCCTCCTCCAGGCAGCCCCCTCCCTTCTTCCCACTGAAAGCCCGACCCCAGGCTACAGAAGACACTCTCACCAAAGCAAAGTGCTTCAAGCTTTATTCTTTTACCAGTACAGGAGGCTCCCACGTAGCATAAGCAGAAGAACTTTCAGAAACACGCTAGGAAACAACTGAACCTCAGTCATTAGCGCTAATGTTAGTTATCATCTTGCACACACCTTCAATCACGCTCATTTTGTTTTGCTTTTTTGGCGTTTTTCTCCTTTTTAATTTTTTTTTGCCTGAAAAAAACCAATGTTTATCCTAACTTCTGGGGCCTTTGGCCCCCAGTGACCTGAGAGGCTCAAACAAGTGAATGCATGGGGAGGGGTCAGCTTTGCTCAATAGGGGTGTCCTACGAGGAAAAGGGAAGGCACACGCTCACTTGGTAAGAGATGGTGGCAGGCTTGGGGAAGCAGGGAGCTGGGTGAGAGTCACACAGGTGACTCTGCCCAGCCAAAGGCACTGCAGTGTGACACACATGCTGGGGTTCCGATGCAGGGGCTGTGGGGCAGAGGCCAACTGGCAGGCAGCTATTGTCAACAGGCCTGCTGGGAGCCAAACAGCTCATCCCGTTTGGGCATTAGAAATGGAAGCAAGGGCTGGGGGCAGGGCATGTCTTCAGCTGCTCTTAATGCCTGGGCTCAGTTTTTTTAAAAAACAATCTGTTTTCCCCTTATGGCCCGTGCCCCACGTCCCTGTGTCTGTGGGGAATGATCCCTGATCTCAGGGAAAAGTCAAGTGTCCGCCTGCTACGCTCCCAGTGTCCCAGAGAGCCTAGCAGATGGATTTTTTTTCCTACATGGGGCATTACTCTCCAAACATGGCAAGAAAACGAAAAACCAGCAAGGAAAGGAGCAGTGGCGCTGGAAGGAAGCCATCGGAGCTCCTTCTGCTGGCTCCTTTTGGTCTCAGCCCACCCAGCCCGCCAGCACAGTCAGGACAGATGAAGTGTGACAAGGGCTGAGCCAGGCCAGGGATCCTCACTGGGGCTGATGGGAAAAAGGGCAAGGCCTGGACTTCAGACAAGCCATTCGCGGCCTGGTGGGATGGAAGGGAGCTCAAGGCCTGGGAGTCTTCCATTTGTCTTTGATTCTGTAGGAAGCATCTGGCAGGAACGTGATCAATGTTTCCTGAGCCACTGGTCACCGAGTCTCAAATATGCACACATAAGTATGTGTATACATACATACATACATACATACATGTGTATATACACACATGCATATTGGTCCAATGCTCTCCACTCTAGGCCTTGCTTTAAGGGGGATATCAATTCGGGATGAGCGGTGTCGATCATTTGTACTTCCACAGGACCTGCACCACTGCCACTACCAGCCCTGAATTTGCTCCCCAATGTGCTTCATTGGCACAGCTGGCACACACTGCCCTAGCCTTCAGCTCCCGTTGCCAGGACTCCCAAGGCCGGCCACCCACCTGCCTGAGAAGTGCCTGCTGAAGGGAGACAGACTGGGACCTTTTCTCCGCCTCCCCCCCCCAACCTGTGTGCTTTGTACCGATTCTGGAGCTTGTCCCGGAATCTGAATGGTCCTTGTCAAAAGAGGTGAAAGGAGGCATGCAGTGGCCTGCATGGGTCTGTTCTACCAGATACCCGACTAGAGCTGGCCCTTGGGCTGCATACTCTGTGCACCCTGACAGGATGTATGGAATAGGAAACCTGGTGCCGGACCTCCCTCGACAAGAAAACCTGGCAAGGCATTGTGAGGGGTTCTAGGCCTCTGGGCTCCTTTAGCAGAACCCTGTGAGTGCGTAGGTGGGCAGGCCATCCAGTGTCCAGTGCACAGATGTGGAAGGTTCTGTGAAAGGACGTTGGGCATACCCTCTAGCCCAGTTCACCAGGAAAACCACCATTGGGCCCAGTGTGCCCTGAACTGGTGAGGCAGGGTCATGAGGACCACCGTGTTCCTGACATTGTCTGGTTGGATTTTTGCAACACCTACTTGTTCAAGTAGCAAGGCCAATGGCAAGTGCCATGAAATGGCAAAGGTGCCCAGGTTAGCTTGGGTCAGTTATGATAGAGACTTGGGACTTCCCATCTGGAAGAAAAAGGCGTCTGTGATTTGTAAGCTTCTGGGCTCAGTGTTAGGCCACAGCAATGCCTCTAAAAGCACACAGAGGTGGGGGAGGCGCCATCACACGAGTCCCAGTCAAGCCAGAGATCCACACCAACAGCATCTCCTGCCTATTTTTGTGCTGCTCTAACAACTAAGTTAAGCCCCTCCCCTGTTTCCTATTCCCTCTAGACCTACTTGACTCCCCACCTCCAGCACCAATCCCAAGGAAGGGTATTAAGATAGGTGGCCCCTGGGGTGACTGCCTGCAAGTGACTTGGGCCAGGCCTAGCTCTGCTCCAGGGATTTCCTTCTAGAATGCACTCTTAGGCCCACAGCTCTTCCCCTCATGCCAATACTCTCTCAGAACTGGCAACCTCAAAGCAGCACAAGTGGCTCAGAGCACCTGGCCCAGGGGGTTTGGAGTCAGCTCTGCCTCTTGCCACTCCCCGCGTCACCTTGGCAGAGTCCCTTCCCTTATCTAGGCCTTAGCCAAAGAAGGGGGTTTGGGAAGCTGACCTTAAAAGCTCTGCCCATCTCCAGATCGTTGACTCCTCAAACCTGGCAATGTAGTGATAAACACGTGCCGATGAAATCACGTGGATGTTGGGTCGCCACCCAAATGTCAGGCACCACAAAAGCCCCATCTTTATCACATGCAATGGTCATAGGGTCTTGGCCAAGGTCAAAGCTGGAGATAGGGGCAGGCCAAGAAGCCCCCAAGTTGCCTCTGGGTCTCTAGATGCCCCCTCTCTTTCCTGGAACTCTAGAGACAGCAGCAGCTTGGGGCCTAGATGGAGTCATTCTGGAGCTGAAAAGCCCATGCAGAGGCCTCCTCCTGGGGCTTTGCTATTAGACATTTTTAGCATATCTTTTGGGGGACAAAAATGGGATGTGGTGAGGTAGACCCCAAAGAGGATGATGATACCCTCAAACCCGAGCTTTTCCGTGTGCACTTCCCCAAACCAGCAAAGCCGAGCTGAGTGGTGTGAGCTGCCTTCAAATGGGAAATGGGAAAGAAGAGCAGGGGCTGAGCCGTTAGTACAGGAGGAACGGTCAGGCGGGGGGATCTCTGGAGTCCTCCTGTGTGCCAGGAGAACGCCCCTACTTCTGGTGCCGCTTTATGTGCAGGTTCAGGTGGTCCGAGCGGGAGAAGCAACGGTCACAGGTGGCACATCTGAACGGCTTGACTCCGGTGTGCTTGCGGTAATGTCGGGTAAGCTCATCTGAGCGGGCAAAGTGCCAGTCACACCCATCCCAGGAACACTTGTACGGTTTTTCACCTGGAGAGGGGGAGAGATGGGAAGGGAGGGGGAGAGAGACAGACAGAGAGATCAAAATGGAAGATGAACCCAGGCTGACTTCGGTCAATCCTCTGACGACTGCCACCTGCGCCCTGGATGACAAGTGACTTCGGGCAAGTCATTGAATCTGGTCCCCACTTTTCTTCTCAGTAAAATAAGGGGACTGGGCCACAGGAGCTTTGAGTCCCTGCCCGGGCCTTAATCCATGACCCTTAGATCCCAGCTTGTCAAGAGGCCTTTATCAAGCCTCAGCCTGCGGATTAGATACAAAGAGAAAACTGAGGCAGTCCCTACCACCTCATCAAGGAAAGGGACGGCCCGTCCATGTCTGGGTATCTAGGGGGTGAAGCCAAGCTTGGTACAGGGGACTAGGGAGGCACTAACAGCTGGGGCTCTAGGGATGTCCCCTCCCCCCCCTCCAGAGGGGACACTGACCGGACCCTCCAAGGGCAGTGAGGAGACTGGGAATGGAGAGCCCTGGCTGAGGGTTGGGGAAAGGCCACCAGCTGGCTAGGCCCCAGAGTGCATGAAGGGGAGTTGTGGAATGAGGCCAGCCTGGGAAGGGCTAAACCCAGAGTCAGCAGGGGTGTGTAGTCACATCTCTGACGGCTTTGGGGAGACTACAGGTGAGAGGGCACCAGGGCCTGACCAAGAGCCGGCTGGGGAGATGAGTGGGGGTAATAAATGGGGACCAGGGGAGGCCTGCATCATTCCTCTCCAATAAATTATTACAGGAAGAGGGGCAGCGGAGGTGGGCAGGCGACAGGCACTCAGGTGAGCGCTCTGGCCAAAGGAGGCTGTGTCAGAACAGAGGGCCATGGGGCAGGCCAGGCTGGGGAACGGAAGCTTGGCCTTCAGTCTGCAGGTCCCGAAGGCTAAAACCTCATCTTGGCCCAAGGAACATGGCATCTCAGCTGCCAAGGGAAGCCTAAGACAGACAGGCACAAACAAATGCCATACCTGCTCCTTGGGGAGTGGGTGGAGGGAGAAGGGAACAGACATTTAGATGGCTCCTACTACGTGCCAGGAAATGTGTTAAGCACGTTATCCACATCTCACTGGCGCCTTACAATAACCCTGGCAGGTAGGGGCTGTTATCATCCCTATTTTTATGCTTGGGGAAACTGAGACAGACTGCAGTAAAGTGACTTGTCCAGGGTCACTCAAGTGGTAAGTGTCTGAGGCTAGATCTGAATCCAGGTCTGTCTGCTGACATTCTCTGTTCCAGGCCACCTGGGCACACAGCCACACTGTCAAGCTCGGGGAACCTTCCTGGAGCTCCTCCAACCCTGGGGTCCATGTGGTACAGGGCTTCCTGGCACAGGCATCTGCCAGCCTCCTCCCTATGCCCTGCTGAACACCTTGGGCACTCCTGCGGCCAAAGGGCACGTCTAAGGCCTCCCTGCGTGGGCCACTGGTCTGAGACCTTTCGAGTACTGGACTCACTGTTCTCATCTGTTCAAAAGGGCCCAGTGCACCTTCCTCCCGGGAGCCAGGGCAGGCCCCACTGGAAGAATATGTGGCAAGGCTCCCAGGAAGGCCAGCCCCCTAGCCTCCTGCCTGGGCCAGGCCCTCCAGAGCTTGAGGCTGTAACCCTGGAGAAGCTGGGGGTGGGGCAGGGAGGTCCCCCCCATGAACAAGTGAATAAGCACAGTCAGAGGGACTGGCCAAAGGGTAAGGGTGGAGGGGGCAGCCTCGGAGAGAAGGAGCTGGCACTGGGGGGAGGGGCAAGACGGCCCAGCCAGCTGCCCGGGATAACGGTATCTCAGCAGAGAAATGGAGGACAGCTGGGCCCTTCCAGGTGAGGCAGGCTCTTGCCTCCCTTTCCAGTGGAACTTGCATATTACTCCCCTTCACACACTCCATGTTTCAGCCTAAATGGTCGCCTTTTCTCTGCATTCTTACCTCCATCCCTTTGCCTGGGCTGGGCTGGGGCCTGGGCCTGGGCTGAGCTGAGACTGAGCTGGGCTGGGGCCAGGACTGGGCCTGAGCTGGGGCTGAGCCTGAGCTGGGGCCAGGACTGGGCCAGGACTGGGCCTGGGCTGGGCCTGGGCTGGGCTGGGGCCAGGACTGGGCCTGGGCTGGCGCCAGGATTGGCTTTGCTGAGGAGGGTGTGGTCCCCTCCAATATTAGTCCTGGCCTCAAACAGCCTCCCTAGAGGTGAGAGAATGGTCAGAATCCATGACCTTGAGGTGCATATCGCTATGAATATTTGCCATTTCTATGGCCAGTGAGAAACAGCTAGACAGCATGTCCAGCACACACTCAAGTGTAGTGTACACCCCCCCCCCCAACCCCATGCATGTTTCTCAAGCCAGCCCTATATACTGACATGCAGGAGCAGGTTCCCAGAGCAAGTTCTGGCCTTGCACACCCATGCTTGCACACATACACATTTGGGTGTCCCTGGGCACACACATGGATGCAGACTGCAGTGCTGAGACAACAGTACTCCTGGGCAGCTTTTGGCCCTGGCATGCACATCCTCCTCAGCCCCCAAGACGACACCGAACCCACCCAGGCACAGCTGGTATACTTGAGCTCCTCAACATGGCCAGCTGTGGAGCTGCAACGTTACAGAGAACAAGGGATGAGAAACAAAAGGGAGCAGCCCCCTCCCCCAGCCCCCCCAGGAAGGAAGGAGAGCACATGCCACTTCGATCAGACAGCACAAGGCCTACTCATGGTGGGGTAGGGGAGGAGGCCCTTGGAGGAGGCTGGGCAGGCCAGGAGGATGCACACTCAGACAAAACAGGTCTTCAGCTCACCAGAGGGCCTGAGAAGGCCTCAGGCCTCTGGGATGCCATGATCCACAGAGAACATTCTGGTGCTTTCCAGTGTGCCCCCTTCAGCTGGGGCATTGTTTGTGTCAGGTGAGCTGTGCTTGGGTGGGAGCTCACAGCTCCAATACAAACGTTTTCCATTGTCCCTGGACCAGCAGCCTTCACTCAGACAACTGGCATCTGGCTCCCAGAGAGGTGGCAAGGGCTGGGGCAGTGATCTGGGGCTCACGTTGGCAGCTGGGCCATGGGAGGTGGCTGGTGAATCCAGGCTTCCTCTCCCCCCCCCCCACTCTATTCTGGGCCTGCAGTGTCTAGGGGCAGCGAGTGCCTTCTGACCTGTTCTGCACACAGAGGGAGAATCCTGAGAGCAGCAGCAAAACTTACACACACGAAGCCACTTATTTAAAGTTTCTTTCATCAGTCAAGGAGGGCGCTGGGCATCAGCTGCCATTTCCCAAGGCCCCCAAGCTGGTTCCCTTGGGGTTCTGGGCTCACCTGACTGGACCCACACCTTAGGGAGATCACTTTGGAGTAGAGTGTGTGTGTGTGGGGGGAGACTGGAGGCAGGCAGACCCCCAGTAGCTATTGCAAGTGTGTGGTGATGAGGGCCTGCAGCGTCAGAGGGGGGAGGTGCTGCAGAGGGCAAAGATTAGCCAGGGGGCAGGAGGGGGTCAGAGTAGGGGGACCAAGGATGAGGTGCGCATTAGGAGCCTGGGGGACTGAGAGGATGGTGGTACCTTTGACTGGGAACTTAGTGAGAAGGAGGTGGTTTTGCAGGGAAAGAGAATGAGTTGTGTTTTGGACAAGATGAGATTAAGATGTCTCCTGGACATCCAGTTCAAGATGTCTGACAGGCAGATGGAGATGCATGACTGGAGGTCAGCAGAGCTGATGACATCACCCAGTGAAGTAGTACAGAGGGAGGAGAGCAGAGGGCCCAGGACAGAATCCCAAGAGGTACCTATGGTTAGAGGACGTGATCTGGAGGAACCAGCAAAGAAGACAGAGAAGGAGTGCTCAGAGGGGGAGGAGGAGAATGGAGGGGTTGTCCCCAAAACTTTGAGAGTATTAAGGGAAAGAAGATGAACTATAGTGTCAAAGGGTTCAGGGAGGTCAGGAAAGATGAGGATTTAGGAAAATCCCTCAGATATGGCAACGTAGAAATAACTGGCAACTTTTTTTGTTTTGTTTCGTTTTGTTTTTGGTGAGGCAACGGGCTTAAGTGACTTGCCCAGGGTCACACAGCTAGTAACTGTCAAGTGTCTGAGGCCAGATATGAACTCCTGACTCTAGAGGCAGTGCTCTCTCTATCCATTGCGCCACCTAGCTGCCCCAATAACTGGTAACTTTGGAGAGAGCAGTTTTCATTGAATGCTAAGGTCAGAAGCCAGACTGTAGATACTTAATAATGGGAAGAAATGGCAGCCCCTATTGTAGATGGTCTTCTTAAGGAGATTATCCACAAAAAAGGAGAAAAGTTATGGGATGACAGGTAGCAAGGCTGGATGGATCAAGTAAGGAATGGGGGAGACATGACTGTGTTTGGAAGCAGTAGAGAAGCAGCCAAGAGACAGGAAGAGATTGAAGATGAGAGAGAGGATGAGAGAGAGAGAGACTGAGAGGCATACACAGAGAGACAGAGAGACACCAGAAGCCAAACCAGACTGTAGCAGCTCAGCCTCCCATGTGTCGCCCGTGACCATCATCCCATTCACTTGGGCAAATTGGGGCTCGAGCTCATTCCCCCATCAGCAGCTTTCCAAAGCTCCTGTGCTCCACCCTTAGCCGCCCAAGTCTCTCTGGAGCTACCATCTTCCCCCTTTCTCTCTGATCACCGTGGTTTGTGTTTGTCTTGAAAACTTCTTTCCTTATAGCATCTCATTCCAACTTTTCTTGTAGAATTATAGATTATGGGATCCTTCCTCTCATGTTTCTGAATTCTTAAAAGTTAAGAGAGCATAACAGATGACGCCTGGCTATAGTGTATCTGAATTCTTTGTAAAAGCAGGGGGCAGTGTAAAAGGACAGAGCCAGGTGGCACTCCACTGGAGACTTCTATAGTCACACTGAGCACCTTGTGCTGGCCACTGCCCCATGCCGGCTGTTTCCGTGTGCTTGCCGAGGGAAGCACCTCTTTAATTACAGGCTCCAGGGATGGACAGACAGCAAGACTAGTGGGCTCAGATGACTGAAATCTACCGTCTTCCTTCCTGGCGCATTCCAAGTCCCCAACATCACCTTCTGTTCTTGGGCCAGATCTCATCTCTCCCAGACCCTCTGAGTCACTGGGCCTCACCAGCGATAGGTGGCAATAGGCACAGGTGGCAAAGGCAAAAGTAAATGTAGGAGGTTATCTGGGTAGCAATGCTTATGCCCCCCAACCACCACAGGGCGTGTGTGTGCATGCATATACATACACGTACATGTACACACACACACACACACACACACACACACACACACACACACCTGCCCAGTCACTAAATTGTGAGAACATTCCTCAAGCCCTTACCAGACCTGGCTCTGCCCTGCCCCCATGGCCATCTGCACTTGGACCCATCTGATTTAGACGGCGTCCACACATGACCAAAAACCACCATTTGGTTCTGTCAATTCAACAAGAAACAGCAATGATCCCCAAACCCAGCAACGGTCACAAGCTTATACCATGTGCGTCTTGGTGACTGGGTTGAACGTTGTAACCCACCCACCATGGTCCAAGGACCAAAGGCCTGCACACCAGAGGCAGAGCCAGAGTCGGCTGGCCTCCTGGCAGCAGGCTTTGGCACCCATTCAGAGGAGCTGATAATAACAGGGACAGAAGTGAGGCCAAGCATCAAAGATGGAAGGCAGTGCTCAGCCCTGCCCCCTCCCCCCTCGGCCTTGCCTCTCTCTTGGCCCTGCCTCTCCTGCTGGCCTTCTTCCTCTCTCCATCTGCCCCTTTTTACCTCCTGATGACCTCTGGAAGGTGCATCTCAATAGGAGGTTAAGGGCCAAAGGAATGCATCTTCCAGGGTCGAATTTCAGGCCCATGACGGGCCAATGGGGGAGCTCTTTGGGAGGAGGTACCCGATGCTCATACTGGAGAGGTAGGGTGGTATAGGGAGGAGTCAGGCTGGACCCAGGCTCCACACCCCCCTCAACACTTACTAGTGTGTGACCAACTTAACCAAGCTGCATTTCTCAGTGCTTCCACCTGGCTTCCCAGGTCAGGAAATGGAAGTCCTTCACCACCCTGTTCACCTTCCTCTGACCACGATCCCTCGAAATGACCCCACCACTTCAGAAGTGGCACGACTTGGGAAGCACACAGTTGGACTAAGGCCTCCCCCACTCTTCCACCATTGAATGAGATAATATCTGTAAAGTACTTTGTGAACTTCCAGTGCTATTACTATCCTCTGTGATGCTTTGCAAAGGACTTTCTATTCTAAGTACATCTTGTCCTTGGCCACTATGTCTTTACCCATAAAGGAAAAACAAAGGAGTGAGGTGTAGCTGTTGGTGTCCACCTGCTGGGTGGGCAGCCCACTGAGCTGGGCTATCAAAGCCCAGGTTTTGCAGAGGCTTTGCAGACTGTCAGCGAGCTGGGCCCAGAGCTGAGCCTGCAAGACAGTAAGCTGGACCCACTGGCGTTCGGGCGATGCTTTCGATGCCCTGAGACTGACCCTTACAACTCAAATCCTAACACTCTTTCGTAGATGTTACACGTCTGTGGACGATGGAGCCCCAGAGTCTTGGAAGAACCAAAGTCTGGGCGAGTTTTTAAAGAGCTGTTTGGTAAGTGCTGGCAGAGGCTGGCACAAAAGGGGGCCAGGTTATGTCACACGGTCTATCACATGAGCAGAGCAAGGGGAGAGCTCCCTCCCAGCCGCCAGCCAGCTAGCACCAGGATGGCAAAGTACCTGTGGAGTGGCAGAGCTGGGCGGCACTCTGTACCCCCCTCAGCGAAGCACCAAAGCTGCCCATGAGGAAGGCCATCTCTGTCTTTAGATTCTCTTCACGCCATTCCTCCTGTCGGATTCGAGTGAGGACCAACACAAGGCAATTCTTCCTTCCTGCCTCCTCTCGACATGAAGGAAGGTGTGCTCTAGCAGTGTGGCAGAGGATGGCTAGCCCCTGGAGATTCAGAGACCGAGCCTGACTTCTGTGGGAGAGGCCCCCCTTGGGGAGCACGTCACAACGGAAAATGCCCCTTAGGACACTGGGTAGGTGCCCAACTGCCTGGCAGCGGTCTAGTTCTGTTCTAGCGTGTGCAAAGTACCATGGGACCTCATGACGGCAGCAGGTAGAGTCCACAGCCCAGCCCAAACCCTCTGGCGCCTTGGTGCCTACCTGTATGCGTCCTCTGGTGGGCCTTCAGGTGAGAACTCTTGGTGTAAACCTTAATGCAACCTGAAGGCAAGAGAAGCCAGAGTCACTGTTTGGCTGAGGGGATGGGGAAGGGGGGAGGAGGTGACGGAGCCACAGCAGTTATGGTGAGCACACCCTGGGAACACAAGGTCAGGCCATGAGGCCCCCAAGTTATCCTCCAGCCCTGGCTCTCTCTTGAGTACGTCCTGTATTTCCAGCTGCTACATTCACTGTCCTTGAGTACCAGTGCATGCATACTACTCCCCAGCTCAAGAACCTGGACTGGCTCCCTATTACCTTTAGCTCCAGCCTAAAGGCCTCTGTTCTACTTTCTTTCTTTTAATTCATTTAATTCATTTCAGTTTTCAACATTCACTTTTATAAGATTCTGAGTCCCACATTGTTTTCTCCCTCCCTCCCCTCCCCCCTCCCCAAGACGGCATGCAATCTGACATAGGCTCTCCATGTACAATCATATCAAACATTCTGTTCTACCTCTGTGGCCCTACACCATCTGGCTGTGCAGTCCAGCCAGCCCCTTTCCTTCTCCTAGGACTTCTCCCCACCCCCTTCCCTCTCTCCACACCTTTGCCTCCAGCCTTCTTGCCTCTACTTTCTTCAAGTCCCATTTCAAGTTGCACCTTCTCCAGGGCCTTCCCACGCCTCCTTTCTTCCCTTCTTAATGCTTGTGGCTGTGGCCTTCAGTTGCCCTGGATGGCTTCCTTTGCCATGTGGGGGGGGTCTCACCTCGTAGACCCTAAGGCCGCCAAAGGCCTGTGCTCAACACCGTGCCCCCCCGTACCCTCGAGGTATCCCCACTAATGGCAGCAGTCTAAGGGGATGGCGCTGGCCCTGGACCTGGCAGAGCCTTGGCTTCCAGTGCTGACTCCGACTCATTCCAGCTACGTGGCTCGAGGGCGGGTGTCCTCCCTGCTGGGTCCTGCCAACTCCACTTGGAAAAGGTGAGGATGAGTCTTGCTCTCCCCATCCCAGACCAAGGTCATAGGGAGTAACGTGCCAGCTCGCTCGTGTCTAAGCTCAAACTGGATCAGAGAGGGTTCTTCCCTACCTCTCTCCTGACTTATTCCAGACGTCCGCTGCAAGCCAGGAGTGCCTTTCTGGAACTCCCTAGAGTCAGGCTCGAGCGCCCCCTAGAGCGCAGGAAGGGAGGGAGGGATTACCTGGATAGTCACAGCGATGAGCACGCCTCTTGTCCAGTTCTGGGCTCGGGATGAATCGGGCCGCTTGCAGAATGAGCTGCCCCGGGGAGAGGGTGGTCAGGCCACCGGGGAATGTGGCAATCTGAGGGGGCGGGAGCAGCTGCAGTCCGAAGGCTGTCTCGAAAGATGGGGGGCGCTGATTTTCAGGGCTGCCAGGCTGGGAGCTGGGGGGGGATGGGGGCAGACTGACACTTGGGACAGGGTAGAACTGCCCAGCAAGGTTGACGGCACCTTGCCCTGGGAGGACACTTGGAAAGGACTTCTCCTCTCCCTCGAGCCTTGACGGCTGCTGAAGGATCCCAGTCAGGGAGTTGCCTGCTGCTAGACTGATGCCATTCAGGCCACTGAAGGCAGTGGCACTGCTCACTGATGGCATGGCCATGGAGACATCGATGCCCATGCCGGCCCCGGCCGGCGGCATCTGGCACAACTGGGCTGCCTGCAGTCCAGCAGCCGTAGGCATCTCTCCAGGCAGCTCCTGCTTAATGAAGATGTTACTCACAGCCATAGGTTGTGGAACGCTGAAGACGCTGGTGAAATCTGGCAGGGTTGGTGGGGAAGGAATGATGGTGGGGCAGGCCTGCGCAAAGCTGGTGCTGGGCTCGCTTTTGATCTGAGGGAAGACTGCCAAGGCCTTGGGAGTGCCATAGCAAGTATTTTCAGGAAGGAGCACGTTGATGTTGACGCTGTATGGAGTAGGGGAGGACTTGTCCATGGCCAAGAACTCATCTTCCACAAAAGCGCCTTGCAGACGGTAATTCTTTTCCACAATCGCAGGCTCCAGGGACACCTGTTTGGACAAAAGTTTGTCACTTGGAGCAGATCCAGGGAAAAGCTCATGGCTACGGTGGGGAAAGGAAAGGAAGAGGGGGAGCGAGGAAATCTTCAAAGTCTGCTGTAGTGGAACCCAGTGGGCAGGCAGGCAGGGCTCGGGGCAGAAGACCCCATCTGGCGACTGCCTCCACAGAGAAAGTCCAAAGCTCGTCAAGGCTTCTGGATTTCCCGTGGTAGCACTCAGCACAGTGTTTGGTACACAAGGAAGCCCTTCTCTCAACTGAGAAGCAACATCGTGTGAGCAGCAGGACCAGCAGTGGACTTGGGGTCAGGAGGCCTTTGTGGGCGCAGGTTTTACCCTTGGGAGCCTTAGGCTGTTCCCCTGCAAGATGGACATAATGACTGGAGCAGTGCCCACCTCCTAGAGTTGTGCCCAGAGGTAGAAGGGACCTTAGACGTTAACTGGGCTCATGCTTCTTGAGCTTTCGTCTAGATGAGCAAGTGAAGTGAACCGCCCAGGGTCACAATTAGTCAGTCAGGGGGGTTTTGGCTTCAGGTGTTCCTAATTCTGAGTCCCAGGTCCTAGTCATGAAGCTGTAACGATGGCTTATATGTTTATATGTCTATTTGGAAACCAGATGAGTAAACATGTAGGCCGTTGTTAGGAGAAAACATGGGAGAAGCTGATAATGTATAATGAGGTGTGTCCTGGGCCAAATCTCCAAATCTGCTTCTGGGTAAATCTCTTAACCTCTCTATGGGCCTCAGTTTCCTTATTTGTAAAAGGAGACTTGATGGTCTCTATCAGATCTTTGATCTGAGGATTAAAATGCCAAATTAACATGGGAGTCATGGTCTGGGATGATTTTCAGGGCTATCCCAAATGATTGAAGCCTGCTAAGGACATCCTTGTACCCAAGAAGTATCTTCTCTCCATCTCTCTGTGTCAGCAGGAATAACCCCCCCCACCCCCCCACCCCCACCAAGGCAAGTGACCAACACTAACCCGCAGCTGACAGTTCAGTTGCTCCAAACCTGCAGAAGCTCCCAGTGGGCTAACAGTGACTGAGTCCAGCAGCCATCTAGAGAAACTGAACCACATGTGAGCCAACAGACCCAGACCTGGGTCAGGAACACGCAGACATCTGGGGAGGAGGATAGGGAGCAGACCCCTCCCCAGATCATACCATGTCAGAAGTACCAAACACATGCAGGCCCCCACACGGGGTTGGAAAGGAGCAGAAAGACACAACAGACCTTCTCCCCAGAAGCCTGGCAGAGCCCAGCCTTAACATCCAGTCTAAAGTCAGGACACAGACTGGAAGAATGAGCAAACAAAAGAACCCAACCATGAAGAGCTAGTACAAGGACAGAGACACTCAAAGCATAATCCCAGAAGATAATGAGCAACTTGAAAACATCTGCAAGAAAATCCACAGAGAAAAACACGGCTGGGACACAAGGCCAGCAAAAATTCCTAAAAGAGGAGCTGAAGAAAGATGATTTTAAAATGATTTTAAAAACCAAATGAGAGCAAGAGGGACAAATGTAAAAACTGACCAATCAATGGGGAATAGAGGTAAGAAAAAACTTCACTAAAAAATAACTCTCTGAACATTAGAATTGGCCAGACGGAAGCCAGTGACTGCATGAGACACCAAGAAATAATAAAGCAAAGTCAAAAGACTAAAAAAAAGGAAGAAAATTTGAAGTACCTAATAGGAAAAACAAATAACCTGGGAAACAGATTGAAGAGAAATAATTTAAGAATCATCAGACTACCTGAAGGTCAGGGGCAAAATAAGAGCTTAGAAATTCTATTTCAGGAAATCATAAAAGAAACTACCTAGAGCTTTCAGAACCAGAGAATAAAGTGGAAATGGAGATAATCTGCCAGTCACCTCCTGAAAGAGGAAAAAGGAAGACTCTCTCTCCTTTCCCTAAATCTGTTTCCCCTTATTTTTTTCTTTCTCTCTTTCTCCTGGCCCACCCTCTCTCTCCCCTCTACAGGTGGTCATAACCGCCCTGGGCAGGCAGCGTAACCACAGCTATCATTATCCCATTTTTCAGATGGTTAAATAATAAGTTAAAAAAAAAAGATTTCTGAGCTTTTTTTTTTCCTTGCCCCCACCCCACTCTCACCATTCCTCTTCCATAAAATGATGGTCACTGAGATGCCAACTGTCCCCATGGAGATGACAGCCTACTTGGGGTCTCTGTGACCTGCCCAATTTGGGGCCAAAGCTAGCCACCTTACCTCACAGAGACCACAGAGGTCTGGAGGCAGAACCTTGGCACTGAGCTGGAGGAGAGCTCTTAAAATGGAGTCTAGCCACAGAAAAGTAGTCACATGATCCACAAGGGGGAGGCAGGGAGCAACTTCCCGTGCAACACCAACAGCCACCAGCAGGGGGGCACTGTGGCCACAAAATGGAGGACCCAGTGGGTGGGTGACATTGAGACATTTGAGATTTGGCCAGACTGAGTCAGTGAGACCTGAGGTCCTAGTACAGGTCCCAAGAAACAGCTCAGATCAGCATCCTTTCCTCTCAAAATACCAAGATGATCCCCCACCATTAGGCTTCCATCTTTTTGAGCTCAGAGACTTATAATATTGACACGACCACACCCTCCAAATCCTTGCCTCAGCTCCACGTTCCTCAGCCTCTTCCCCCTTTTATGTTATAGAAACACTGGCTGTAAATAGATTAGGACAAAGTCAGAGACAGAGGGCAGCCTGTGGTAATGACCATCCTTAGCCCCATGGCTGGCAGAGGGCAGAGGCACATTCTTGTTTTTAATTTTATTTATTTATTTATTTATTTTGGTGAGGGTTAAGTGCCTTGCCAAGGATCACACAACTAGTGTCAAGTGTCTGAGGTTGCATTTGAACTCAGGTCCTCCTGACTCCAAGGCTGGAGCTCTATCCACTGCGCCACTAGCTGCCCTAACAGAGGCACATTCTTGCCCATACTAGCAGGAGGGGAAGGGGTAGCAGTAACCTCCAGCATCCTACCAACGGAACTCTCACCCAACCCTCAAAACAGACAGGCATCCACCTACCCCCACCCCCTCCTCAGCCTGAACCATCATGCTCCAAAGGCATCACCCCACCCTAACGAGGGACAGCTTGTCCTACCTCCAGTGCAAGGGTCCTCTAAAGTAGAGTGATGCTGCCGTGAATGGAGTCAGGAAGACTCATCTTCTCGAATTCAAATCTGGCTTCAGATACTTCCTAGCTGTATGACTCTAGGCAAGTCCCTGAACCCTGTTGGCCTCACTTTCCTCACTTGTAAAATGAGCTGGAGAAGGGAATGGCAAACCTCTCCAGGATCTTTGCCAAGAAAGCCCTAAACGGGGTCCTGGAGAGTGGGACATGGCTGAAAACGACTGACCAACCCCAAAGGGAAGTGCAGCCTCTAGAAGGGCTAGCCTGACGAACACAACACTTAATGCACAGTCACGTGACAGGGCTTGGTCCAAGAGGGCCAAAGCAGGAGCCAATGGGGCACTGGGGAGCAGTTACGAGGAGGCCAATTTTATTTCAAAATAAGGAATAACTTCCTTCCAATCCAACGTGTGCCCAAATTAAACCAGCTGGCTGAGAAACCAGTGATTCCCACAAATATTCCCACAAAGAGAGCTCCTGGGTGAGTTCCTGTGTCAGAACTATCATTCAGTGAATGAGAACAAAATCACATTGAAATGCCCTGAAGGCTTGATGACAAGCATGTTCCTGCCTCGGCCAGCCACCAGGCTGTCCACAGGGAGACCTCAGAGCGTGTGCAGAGGAACGGGGCGGGGGAGGGGGGAGGAGGGTCAGAGCACCTCCAACACAGGTGAAATGAAGGGCTCCCTTCGAGGGGGCTCAGAACTAATTTTATACATATGCCTTAGTGCTGTGTCTGACCCCTTTATGTACTGAAGCTCAAAGAAACTGAGCTGTTTACCCAAGGTCACACAGAAAAAAGAAATGGGAAGAGCACGGATTCAAATGGAGCACCCCCCCCCCCAGCACCAACACTGCCAACCAAGGTAGTCTGGAGGAAAGCAAAGGTGGCAGCAGCAGCAGACCAAAATGCCAAGTGGCCTCAATCCGCTCTCTGCTTAGAACTTCGCTGAGCATTAATCCCCAAGCGCTGGGGCCACTGGGACCCCATTCACCTCCCCAGAACTTGGGAGAGGAGACTGATGCATCTGGCAGGGTCCATGGAGTAAGAGAAGCAGTAACAGAGACACCATCCAACTTTCTACTGCTTGGCCCCCAGGGAAGGAGAACAAAAGGTAACCCAAGCCAACCTGCCTGTGCTAGAGAAGCTTCCTTTCACCAGGACATTCATTAGGGAGCAGATTGGATATATCAGGTTGGCTCTCTGTCCCTGAAGTTAAATATTGACCCTGGTAAATATTGACGCTCCTGACCATTCAGCCTCCATAATGGCCTCGCTATAAGCCATCGTCTGCTTTTTGCCCAATTTCTCCAGGTCAATGCTAAGCAGCTGCAAGTGGGTTACAGAGACCTACAAGAGAGTCTCTGACTTCAAGAAGCTTCTTTGATACTAGGAGGGGGAATGTCCACAGAGCAGTAAGTGGACCACCATGGAGGGGAACCACCATGGTGGGGGGACCTCAACCACAACTCTGGGAAGATGGCTCCTGTGGTGGCTGTAGGAGACAGCGACAACCAGAGCCTTCAGTCCAAGTAAGGCATGCAGCTAGGGGCTGGGCCAGCAAATAGAAAAAGTGAGCCAGTGAGGGGGCCTTTCCTGACACTGAGCCCATGTGTGCCTACCTCGAACTCCCCAGGGCTCTGTTTTCTGGGGCCCAGATGAGCAAGGCCAGCTGACTCCTACTCTACAGGCCAGCAGCCAGGTCCTTCTGGGCTCGTTGGCCTCCATGGACCCCAGGATGCAGGGGGACTTGGGCAGGCCAAGTTTCTCATGGCTTTGGAAGCTTTTCTAAAAGAGACACTTCAAGCCCTCGACAGTGGCATTTTAGGGGTGTCAGGTCATGAGT